CTATAGGCCTATTGCCAGTTCCATCATAGGAGGCATACTCCCACTTCCTTGGAAGCTACACAGAAATAACATCGCACCATGTTAAAAGTGGCAAGAATTTGTCTGCAAACAGTGTAGGGCTCCAGTGAACAAACCCAATCCGAACATGTAAGCATACCAATTCAACCACCACCAGCCTATAACGTTAAGCCCAAGGTACATACCCTCAGCACATAATAGGCCTCTCACGGGGCTTCTTCAATTGATTTAACAGAACGACAAATGCAAGAACAAGGTGGTGCTAAGCTACTTATTTTCCTTATGAAAAAATAACTATCCAATAATAAGAATTAGAAAGCGATGAGTTCACCAATACCAAATAAATATCACATTTAAACTGAGGATTGGCAGGTTCTCCGTGACATCAACCAACGTGTTATAGAACCCGGTCTGTGATGACTGAGTGATCAAGAAGTCCCTATCCCATATGGAGGCTGCCATGGTTCCCAGTTTCTGAAGCACTCTCGACCAAGTCAGATAGTCAACGACTCCCGCGATGCTGAGATTGCGAATTTATGATCTCGCCTTAAAGCAAATCAGTTTTACCAGTAAGGTAGCTTCAATCAGTGCTGGTTGAAATTATGCTTCTGAAATTGTGGGGAACATGCACCAGATCGGTTGTACTATCCCAGATAACAGGTGACGTTGGCCCAACGTGGGGTAAAGGTGAGAGAGGTTTGGTGGGAGGTGAATGTTGGGAACGACATTGCCCCAATGTGAGCCCAACGTAAGCATATCCCCACGTTGAGACGGACTACAGTACTCCTGGAGGAGAGTTACAAAATGTTGACGTTCTCCTCTAGGCCACTACCCAGGTAACCCATCCATGTGGAAACAACATTGCAACAATGTTTCATGGCAACATTTATAATGTTGAAATAACATTGAGGTACCACATTAATTCAATGTGAAGATGTCATTTTTGTCAACATTGTTTCAACATTCCTTGTTAATGTTGAAACAATATTGATGGCAACATTCATTCAATATGATTTCCACCTTGCATCAACATTCATTCAACATTCCTCAATGAGTCCCTGGTAATTGGGTTCCTCCATGGATCAAAGTAGAGGTAAATTCATTAAAATGAATCGCATGACCTATGGATAATGAACTATATATACTAAAGAGGATAAATCCTCTTCAGTTTCTACAGGTCACTACCCACAGAGGACTGCCAAGTTCGAGAGGATGGGGCCCCTTCAGTTCTGCAAACAGCACTAAAACCTTGTATGCCTGAAGGGTTTGTAAAGCCAAGATAAATCCCCTCAGCTGTTGCCATTCGAGGATTTGTGAATAGATCGCTTCAGGTTGTCTCTTTGTTCTCTACATGTCTTTAATCGCCTAGACTTCTGTGCGCCCACACTAAACCTGGACATTTAATTTGTTTCAGAATCAGATGCTGCAATCAGAACATCATAATTCCACATTTCTCTAATACATGTGTTCATTAATTACGTAATAAAAAGAGGAAAGTGGGAAGAAAACGCTTTAATGGAAGGTGACAGATCCGTAATTGCATTAGTAGGGTACAGGGGAACATGGATACCATCTAGTGAGGGCTCTTGGTACTTCATTATGATCGCGCCTAGACTACACTACCGTGGTAACACACCGTCCATCAAAGGATGCAAGACGACTCGGCGATGACCGTAGGATAATTGGAAATGGTTTATATATTTGTTTCCGAACTAAAAAAAAATTCAATATACATGATAATAGACGGCATGCAACTCAATAGTTGAGGAGTCTCATTTTTTCAACATTGAAACCATGTTGCGGTAGGTTGATAGTACTCCGAAAACCTATTGGAGAGGTCCAACTCTTCATCATTTTAAGAGGGGTTAACAATGATGCCACATCTAAGAAATGTAATCCGAATATTCCCCAATTGGAATCCACAATGTGATGTGACAACATTCTATCAACATTGAAACAATGTTCACCTTCAACCCTCAACATTCGCACATTCAATCCACAGCCAATCAATGTTGATTCAATGTTCTGTGTTACCTGGGTATCCAGTGTAAAGACATGCGCAAGACAGACGGTTGTGCTTAGCACAGGCTCAGTGCTCCATTTGGGAATGCCTCCACTGGGTAATGAAATTAAGCATATGGTAGGAAATGATGATGGCCAATACAGAGCTAATACCAGGTACTGGGGTGAGTGGTGAGTTACTCTACAACTTCCTGCCAACGTTGGCACCACATTGGCCAAACGGTCACTTTTACGTGGGGCCTACGTGAATAACATACATTGGGTTACCGTGGGTCCCACGAAAAATGTTTCCTAGAATGTTAATCATGCACTACTTCCGCGGTTTCCAAACTCTGGTATGCAAACCCAGTGGCTTGCCCAAGGGGGACGTACGCACCACTTGATATACATTTTACATGTTTGATTCCCAAAATTTTTTTAAATTTGGCAATAAATGCTGAGTGGATTACCAATTTTTCACGTCAACCACCTCTCCCTTGAGATTTTCTGGGCACGCTACTGCTCTTACCACCAGTGGTGCCAGAAATCGTGTTTGGCCACCCCTGGTCTAGGGTTTCCTGCATCAGCATTATGTAAAAGCAGTTTTGTCGTCCATTTACCATGAACTTCCTCAATTCACGAAATGAAGGCTTCCTCCCTTCCTGCTGCGCTACTTCTGAAACAGGTATTGTGTTGCTCTTCGTTAATCTCCATTCACGAAGATTCCTGGTCTTCTGTATCGTTCATTAACGATTATGCCCGGCTAGAGGGATACGACGTGATGGAAGGCTGCTTGGAAAGAAGCAAGCAATAAATCAACGATGTTCTCATCTTTTCAGGATTTCCGTTGTACTGTCGAGAATCATCCTAGTGTCTCCGTGTATGATCAACGCAAAAGCTCGACGAACCTCATCCTTATTTCATGTGGCTAGAAAGAGACTAATAAATAATCAGGATGAAGCACCCGGCTGGAAATTAAACAAGACCCCGTATTTATTGTGTCCGGAAAGGGCCTTTCTGTGACACGTGAGCAGTTCACTCTGTATGGGTGTGGTAGTAGCATCTGGACAAGGATCACAATCACCAAGTGAAAATTCGGTTTCGGGTGAGGCAGCAGAGGGAAAAACCCATTTATTGCTTAAATAACAATCCTAACACCATTTTCTTCAATCATCAAAAGTTCTCCATGCATTATTCAATAGATAAAACGGATATACATATGTGAGATTCACTGCACAACTTTAATATGAAATTTTCCACTTCCGTTCATAATTCAATCATATCCGAAGCAGAAAAGGAGTATTATGCATGACCGAGGAGACTGAAATATGTAACATTTTCAGCTACTCTGGAGCCCTTCAGACATGATACGACCGCAAAAAAAAATATATCGGGAAAAAAATCACGATTCGGGACTCCACACTCGTAATACTAGAAGCAAGCGAGCGTTAGAGTCCACAAGACACTTTGGACAATGCATCCAATTCCAAGTAGGCTTGCTCCCGGACATAACCAGGCGATATGCAGGGTGGGCAGAAAAAATTCACTCTTTTTCATTAAATTTCTTCATCTGTTCTAATTAAGACAAGCTCATGCACTATCGAAGATCTGATCGCATGTAACTGACTTCAAGGCAATATGACTAGCAGCTTCTACACGATATTTTTCCCGGGGCGAGGTGAAAATCGCAGTTGGGCGCACATTATTCTCTTTCATGTGGTGCTAGGATAGTTCGAGCAGTGGCTCGGGGGTATCAAGCCGTGGCGGGTTGTTCTATAACCAAAAACAGGTACATTGGACATTGCTTTCTATAGCTATGGGTAATTTCGTTCCTAAATTTATTTATGATAGATTCAATTTTACTTTTCAGGAAATATATATATATATATAAATTAAGGATGTTTATTCAATCACCTTAACGTAATAATGCGCATGTAGTTTCGATTTTTTGCCACGCATTGTAAGAAAATTGTGAAAGACTAGTTTTAGCCTTTCCTTGAAAGGAATCATTAAATCAGGGAAGAAAGGCACTATTTACTTTCCAAATTGCGTGAGCGTGTCTTAATCAGTAAGGATGATGAAATTAAATTAAAAGGGTGAACTTCTTTTTGTCCCAACCTGTAAATCTCCTATCCTTTAAGACACCCTGGAAAAAGAGCATCACAGAAACTGAAAAAGGAATAGTCACAGACAACATGAAGGACTATGAAATCGCCAACGTGTCCCGTGAAACAGTATGAAAACTATCAAAATTGACACTCAAAAGGCAGGTCAGAATTGCCAAGACAAGTGGAACGGGAGGGGGCCGCTGAAACCGAATACTAATCGGCAATATTGACCTTATCCACACGAGGAAGAGGGCCTAGAAAAAAAGAGAGCGAGGGAAAAGTCGCTCTTCCCGCCTTGATCTTCGCTGGACAGAATCCATGCAAAAAGATACATTCTCGAGTTTCCGCGTCAAAAATGATTTTATATTCAGATCTACCACTCCGGTAAAACTTCCGAAGAATCCTTCATTCCATTTTCCTTTACAGCTTTCTGCAGCAGAACCATAAGCCACGGAAAGGGAAATACAATGCCATCATAATGCACATGTCATATCACAGATTGCCTGTCCTGTTATATCACATTTGGTAAATGTCATTAGACCGAGTGGAATCACTCTAGTCGCGGGATAACAACTACTTTACTCATGTCGAAAGGGAAGGATCCGATTTGACGCTCGATAAAGACACCTACAGGCCACTGTGAAACAGAAAAGAAGAGAGGGGGGGCAGGTCACCATACATATGGATCCATAAAATTCGTTAAATATAGAAAAAATAACACCACGTGAAAAATCACATCGCTGAGATGTGACAGTGGCAACAGGCAGTTTCCATCAAAATGGATTTAGAGAAAAAGAACGCCTCAAAAGATTCGCCTGGTTGTAGAATGACGTGGCATGATGAGGATGGGAGTTCATTTAATCCGAGAGGAACCCTGAGTGGCGAGGATCTCGGATTTCCTGCCGTACTCGGGGGACTGAAGTCGAAGGCGTTGGTCCAATTCCACCAATTGATGGAGGAATCCGTCATTGGGACGGACATCTCGAATCGTCCGCAACATTCGCATCGCAGTCGTCACTCGGATCTTCTCCTTGATCATCAGGTACGCCACCACCAACGTGGCTGATCTCGATCGTCCCATCATACAATGGACCAGCACCTTCCCTGTTCCCGCAAATTGGCGATGTCAAGCAACATTATTTCCGTGTGTATAAATTACAAAATGACAAAAAAAGAGTTCCAACGTTACTAAGTTCTTGCAATTTCCAAGTAAATCAAACACATCATAAACTTATTAGACGTAGTGCATCTTTCCTGCTCCATTGAAATGTATTTAGCAAAATAAATCGCGTGAACAGATAGCAGTTAATGTTTTTACAAAAGCAACATGAAATTTCACGTTCTCAAGCGCCATTTTAGGATGTACCACATCTCGGCAACGCACGATAAACACAACGCAAGCCCTTAGTCTAGCTGCTTATTAGGCCCAGGCTCGGAAGCCGATAGCTAGGTTTAGGAAGTGACATTTGGTGCTTTTCACACTTTCTTCGTTGGGTTTTCACTTCTTAAAGTCAGCATTGCTTTTCTCGACAGGATAGATGAAGTGGTAATCAAAGTCCTTCGTTAGAGAAAAGGCTATGGGGCGAAGATTATTCAAGTTCCCAAACCGAGGGTGAAAAGCGCGAACCCTCTTCAAATAGAGCAACAATTTCCAATGCTAGGTTTGTGTTATGAAACACTCCTTGGGTTAGGCTCTACTCAGAATTATTATCAAAAAAATTTCGCGTAGGTATATATTTTTTTCTTTCCCGTCATGTTTCTGCTTACACGAAATCGGCAACATAACTGGGAAAGCAAAACAGGGAAATAATGCCTGAGACAAATACGGTATTAGCTGCTACTTGACCAAGAGATTTAGTTTTTTTTATTAAATAAATTTTAATGAAGCAGAGTTGGAACATGGAAAAGGGTTGTACAACATCTGAAGTTTGTGTAATGAAAATGCAAAAATATATACTTGAAAATTTCAAGCAACTCAAAACAGGGGCAAATTTTCGAGTCCCGCTTTAGAATGTATAGCAGGTGAGACGATGCTTTGCCTGTGGTTATTGGAATTGTTTTGTTGGGGGCCTGACGGATTCATTGCAGCCTTCATCTTGGAATAATAATGTTATTAATAATAAAATGTTATAAACCGCAGGGAAAATATGTAATGCTTTCCATATTCTCTAAAATACCTATGTGAAAAGTTCTTTTAATCAATAAGTTTCCAAGACATACTAAGCTCTAGCACTGAGGAAATTTACTGCATATACAGAGAGTGAACAGTAAGTCACAGGATACTTCGGGAAATACCTTTATCTTGTATCGGTCTAACGAGAGCAGCGTAAGTCGGTATGTGAGTGACTCAATTTTCTGGATCTTGCGTTTTTTGCAAGTGAACGACTCCGGGGGGTAGAATTGGAGTGGATTCAGCATATATCTGGACCATTTACCATTTTGGTAATTTGTGAATTCGTATTTCTTCGAAAATTAGGTTATCAATTGCATACTGAATCCCAAATTTTCAAAAGAGAAAGTTGACAAGAGGATTTGTGATAGAGTGCTTTTTCCTTGAGTCAATGTTTCACTTGACTCGGACACTTGTGCATGGGATGTTCCTCATTCACGAGAGTCTGATTCAAGTGAAAAATACTGTATCAGGCATTGACCTTTTGCTGATTTTAGCAATCCAAGTTCTTTACAGCGCTTTTGAGGGCGACAAATTGGATAGCGGTTATTGTGACTCATTTTACTAGCACATTAAAAGGGCACAATCACTAGGAACATTTTTCTAAAACAAATATCTGTTTCATTTTCAACCATCTACCTATAATTGTACTTCCTTCTAGGGCAAAGATGAAGGATCCATTTCATAATGTCTGAATCCTTAAATTTTTTTTTCAGAAATTAATAATGAGAAAAGTTGGTAATGACTCACGAAATATGAGTTGAGCAGTCAAAGAATAGTAGGAGTACAACATTTGTTATTTTAAACGTAGATTTCTGCATGGCACTTAAGTACGAGTTCTGTGTAACGTGGTGCTAACGAATATAGCGTTGCCCATCCGTGATTGGCACTTAGTGTAGGATTTAAAAGTTTGAGTATTTTGTTCCCAATTGGGTGGAATGACCCTATTCGTGTGATGGCACTCTTACAGGAAGGGAGGAGAAGAGACATAATGGGTGTAGTTTGTATTCATGATCGAGATGCAAAGATCCGAAGAATGAGCTCAAACATTTCAGGTGCAAGGGAAAAAACTGGATTCAGATAGCAGTGCAGTTCAAGGGCTTAAAATCTCTGATGTATTCAAGTACTTCCTGTGTGGAACTCTTTCAGCCAGAGCAACACAGAAATAATAACGAAAATTATAAATATGAAAATAAAGTTTTCATGGGGTAGATAATGGAAGTTTCACGTATTTTCTCTCTATTCTGCCCTTTCAAAGCCAGGGTTGTATAAGGCAGCGGTTCCGAAACTGTGGATTGCGACCCACTGGTGGGTCGCAAGAGGCCTCAGGGTGGGTCGTGAGAAATTTCCCAAGACAAAAATTCACTATATCCGTACCCGCTCAGGATAAAACATGCTCTGCAGAAAAGGTCAATAAGTTTTCTTCATGTTATAATTACTAGTACTTTGAAAATGCCTCGTTCTGGATTCCGGTAGGTCGCAACATTTTTTGACGTCGGCAAGTGGGTGGCAATTCAAAGAAGTCTGGGAACCACAGGTCTTAAGGCGTCAATGGTTTCACTTCTTATTTATGACATCATCCATGTCATATCTTGGACAAGTTGCTTGAAATCCTCCTTATGAAAATGTGAGCCCTACTTGTGACGTTGATTAAAACCTGCTGAATCTGAAACTGATGAACTGCTGTAACGAGTCAACTACTTTCAAGAAGTTGAGCTGCGCCTTTGCAGTGAATCGATGATAGTATAAGTAGGATATACTATGAAAGAAGTGATTCACTGCACACAACTATGCTAATATTAACTTCCATATTTTGACATGAAGACATAAGAAAATGAATTAGAAAAGCAATTATTTAATTCATTACCAAGTAATAAAAAATTACGTAATGCAATAATATAATATATTTTGGATGCTGTTAATTATAAATATGTTTGGTATTTGGAAAATACTGGCATCCAATGACATTTTAACTTCGTAACTACCGTTCTGGGTCCAATGAACCCATATATAAAAATTTAGCCATTTGCGTAGGCTGCGCAATAAACTTTTAAAGTCCGATACTCCGTGTATTTCCATGAAGACATGTGATAGTAATTAGGCAAAATATTTTGAAGAGATTCTTTGGCAATGAAAAGATGAAATAGAGTTACAAAGAAGAACTATCCAGGTTCTGGTAGTAACAGGATTAAACATGATTGACTATAGAATTTCCTTCGATTGACTATAGAATTTTCTTCAATACCTCCGCTTTTGAGGCAGTTCTCGATGAAGTTGGCAGCTTCAAGAAAATACCGACTGATGTCGGCATTGGGAAGGTCGGCAAGTCTCAAGCCAAGGTAAACGATCCTGGTTCCTTGATAAAAGTGGGAGCCGGTGTTCACCATGCCGAACGTGGAGCCCTCTGCTGCATTCAACACGTGCGTGATCTCGGCTGCTCGCAGGAAAGACTTGCTCTTCGCCGCTTCCCTTTGGGATCGAACAGGAAAGGAAAGTCAATTCGATAGGAAATCATCTTCTCGAGGGGAACCCAAAGTAATCATTCCTGCCGTAATAGGAGCCAAAAGAGACTTTGTCGTGCCTCTCTTGCTCCTTTCGATATCCTAGACCCCACTTGGGATTATAACGATCCACGAGGATCCATCACATGATGCCATTGAGGAGAAAGCCATAATCAATCAAGCCATCTTCATTCGCGACCCAGACATGCAAAATGTGGCCGAACGCATAAAATACGGAGAATGATTAAGGGCTTTAAATGCACTTCCAGCCTTCGGATGTCAGAGGTCATTAGAAGGAGTTAGCAGGAGAAAGATGAAGGCGAAAAATTCATGCAAAGTTGCGTACGCGGTAAGATGGCGTTATTCCGTTCAATATTATACTATGTTCTTCATGGAAGTAAAAATTGTTGGATGGGACTATTTTCATCCCAGATATTACATCACCATCCCTTTCAACATTTCTACCGGCACTTGGCATCGCTTAACCACACTGCTTGGAACAACATAATGGCCTTAAATAATGAAATTAGATCTTTAAGCAACAAATAGGACACCAGGACTAACATCAGAAATGCAAATTGAGATGTCATCCCGAAGTAGCTATAAATTGCGCCCCCCCCCCCCCTCATTTTCTTACGCTTTCAGTGATGGCGGCACAGAAGTAACTTACATATCACCGATGAAGATGCCAGGATACACTTCGTCACAGTCAACGGAATACCCGTAAGCAGGAGATCGGCGTGTGGCCCAGAAACGAGCACTCGGAGTCGATGACCTCAAAATATCCACCAATGTTTTCACGGACACCAGCTCCGCGGCGAAGTCCGTCATCTTCAATTGACGGATGGTTGTCATTCCCTCGTAAAGGCACTGGCAGTGGGTGGCATCGGTGATAGACCAACCTGAACTGCACAAGTCATGATACATGGAGACCTTGACTATGAAAATAGACCTGGCTCCGGTCCGATGGCTCCGTGCCAAGACTACGACTTCCGCGATAACTCAGCCGCATTCATTGATGTGGCTGCGTGTTAGGGGAGCGACTATCTGAGCAATAAACCCCTTCGATTCCACCAACCCTCCCCCTTCCTCACTGCTGATCTCATACTGAGTTACAATATCGATCTACGGTCGACCAGACTGCTAAGAGAAAACCCGTACATGTCAGGCTATGTCTCGTGCCATGTCTGCCAATCCATCTACAAGATAATTGGTAATATCCACGCGTGAAAGAGGGAGACAGGAACCAAGGAAAGAGCGACAATGATCTTCATAAGATGCATCAAGATCTGCTCGGGGATTAATACAGGTTCTTTCGTCTTAAGATAAGATTCAAGACTTGCCTGAGACAGAAAGCGATTCACTCACGTCCGCACAGTGTTATGCAGTGCTTCTGTGTCCTTGAAGAGAGATGAAGAGACCAAGAAAGCCCTTGCCCGCAAGGCATAACGCGCACATAGCTCGTACTGTATTCTGCCAGTCACAGCGAAGCAAACAGACGGACCCGCGTACGCCAGCGCTGTGGAAGGGACCACATGAAGCACACTCATGGTACATCATGTACCTTTGCATGGTGATCGATGTGGAGGGAGCTACATGAACGTGGGCTGCTCCATCTGCCCTTGACAGTACGGAAAATCAATGGATCTACACTCTCCAATGTTATTACTGACAATATACTTTCATTTGCTCCGAAAAGACTTACTACCATCGGGGAAAAACTATTAATTCGATTCTAATGAAAGCGAGAGAAGTTCGGAGATAGTTACGGATTGAATTTATGTAAACGATAGCAGGCAGACGACCGCAAGGAACGAAGCCTCAGCCATTATCGTCCAAGAGGACAATGTAGTGCTTCCACTGACTGATTTTATGTGCCGGGACGATTCTCGGTGCATGAATAAGGATGTGAGCAATGGATGATTCTAACTGCAATATGGAGACATAGCTCTTTACCAAAAGAAAATATTTATCTTTAGGAATGAGCTACTTACCGCAGCAAACTGAATATTAGTTTATTTTTATTTCTGAGAAAACATACTTCCTGTACTTTTTTTCGGAAGTATTTGAACCCGTGGTAAAAGGTCTACATATTAATTATGCAAGTTAATGTCACCTAATAACCTAAGCAAGCATAATTAGGATGTGCGGCGAAATAAAGCTCCGTATTATGCTGCGAATTAATGTTCCTCCATTTCTTTCTAATAACGCGTAATTTCCTAAGGTTTTGCTTATCCCACTTAATTTTCTCACTTGTTACAACCCATGGATGGGTAAGTGCTGCGAATGTCGGCACTAGGGGTAATCCCGGCACTTTGCAATCATCAACATTCTGCTTCCACTACCAGTTCCCTAGGCACGGGTAGACAAGTATTCTCAGTTGGTGGGACTAATATTGTTTACGGTAGCAAATATGGCTGTTCCAAGCACATGTTTTCTCGCAATGGCTGCCTTCTCTAAGCGCACTCCGAAAGTCCTCCGAAATCTTGTGATTTTTCTAAGCTTTGGCACATTCCTTTCTTCTCTTCCACACTGATACTGGTTTATTAAGTTGTTGCATTCATTTTTGAGTCCGTTATAAACAATAGTGATACATAAGTGTGCCGAGATCCCTGACAGGGTGATGCCGACTATACCAGCAATTGTGCCGAGATTGCCTACATCTGACCCAACTTCACCTATGACCCAGGCCCTCGGAAAGGAAAGGCCCGGGGCACTCGAGGTGTACGGTACAAGTAGATTTATAATAAAGGTATGACCCACCCCAACGTGAACGAGGAAGCTCAATTACGGAAACCATCAAGCAAGGTGGAAGTGAAAATTTTGCTAAGAGTGCCGACATTTGCAGCACTCACCCCATTAACATGAGCGTAGGAAGAAGGCAAAATGTTCCAGTAGAACGTGAGCACCATCTAGCGCAAATTTGTAAGCCGGGAAGTAAGAGTGATGATTTGAAGGGTTTTTCCAGAAAATAATCGTTGGGGTATGAGATGATGCAGCATATGAAATGATAATTAGAATACCCCAATTTCTCCGAAAATACTACTTACCACCTCGTAGCACTTTTGGGTGAAGAGCCTGTAAACTGTGATTTGTAATGTAGAGAGCCTGTAATTCAGTGCATGAAGGTTAGATATTTCGTGGATCATTCCCTGCCAGAACGCTTTCTTACCAGCACCACTTTAAATTTCTTCGATACAGATACTTGGAAGCAAACTTCCCCCCCTCCCCCCGAGTCTTAAGCCACCCATCCTTTCTATTTTTATCTGAAGCCTGTCGGTTGCTTTTTTAGGATGCACAGATTCTGTTGGTAAAACTTTATCTTGCCATCGTTTGATTGCTGTTTCAGATTGTTGCTCCAGTTGTTGCTGGTTGTTGGTAGCTCTTTTTGGTATATTCTATGTGGTATTTACTGCCTCCTTCCCAACTGAGTTTTGGGAAGAACCTGGAAAATCAACTTGAACAGTCTTGTGCTTGTGACAGTGCGCAAGGTGACATCTTCTCGGCCATGACATACTCCAGACACCTGCCCGTTTAAAACAGATTTGTGTAAATTTAATACAACTCATACTTGAGTTATGAGGCATCGATATACCCGAGGTTTTATCTGGACACACTGCATATATCATATCCCATGACATGCCTCATGCCTCGAATCATTTTGTCGCCAGTCAGTCATGGTTCAGGTTTTCTGAGTCTATTCACGCCAAGTGAATGCTTTAGCATGAAATTTCACTAAATTTGTGTAAATGGCATTCTATACAAAAGTTTTTAATCTGTAGTCCCTTAGAACCTACATGAATAAAAATATTTCTTAAATGAAATAATTGGTCATTTTATTATATATTGTTTGTACCAATCGCGTTATACTCGTTTGCATGATGAAAATGCAAACTGAAGAATCTGAATGGGACTACAGCACTGGAATAGATGCCAGCATGAGAGAACCCATGCTGAGTGATAATCTATAATAAGTTTATGAATTAGGATAATATGCCAAATTGCCACATTTGAATGATATTCCAGTTGAACATTTAACTGTAACTATGTAACTACCAGAACCCGGATAGTCATATGTTTAACATATTGGAGTCTGAGCCCTAAGAAGCTTGTTTCTCTCCAGATGCTGAGCATTTTAAACTGTTTTCGGACGACTGCTGAGGGAAATCCAAGAAGTTCAGAAATATTATTCCCTTTTTATTTACAAAGATTTCCCTCTGACCCAGAATCTTCACATAAGAGGTCATTAATACCATCTGAATCACGATCAGCACGATATTTCTTCGAAGCCATCTTGCCATTTCAGTGAAAAACACACATGAAGTTAGCTGCTCGTTCAGCTGCTGTTTCAATCGTTTATATCGATTCGTACGAGTTGTACTGCTATCAGTTAGGAATTTTGTGAATCTCAAGACATGAATTTTCATCTAGCAGACAGCACACGTATATCTTACATAGGAGATATAGAAGCGCAAAGTCAAGAACTTACGGGATACGGGCACTGTCCGCTTGACGAAGTTACGTTGCCCGTAACACGTGCGGGCATAGACTCGTATGAGTTAACTCGTCATTTTTTCATCTCTTCATTTCCAAAGAATCTCTTCAAAATACTTTGCCAATTGCTATCAGATTTCTACATGAAAATACACAAATTTACGATGCAGCCTACACAAATGGCTACATTTTTGTATCAAGATTCATTGGACCTAGAACTGTAGATCCAGGGCTAAAGACTACAGGATTTTCGTCTTAAAATAAACTTTCAGAAAATTTCACATCTGACACGGTCACAAAGTCGCCTTTTTTTTTTTTCCAAGTACTGTAACCAGAGAGTGATTTACACTTTCGGGCTTACCATTTCATCCAAAGAATGAGTATAATACTACATTTATGGGTTCCCATATATCACAGAAATGTAGCCACTAGAGTAAGCGACTTTAACCTTGGGTTTTCTTGAAATGTCACGTTTGGCACTTTTCTTTACACATAGGTACAGCTCTAGCCAAAGTGAGTATGCATGACTTAGGAAAAATGAATTTTCAGTTGCTGCCTCCATATGTAGATTCGTCATTTGCAATATTGTTAAATATACCTTGTGTATCAAATACACGGTGTCCCAATATGATTGATACATATTTAAAAAATGTATTTCTCGTGAAGTATTGTAAAGTGGTCTAAAGTATTGTCCCTCGGTAAACATCAATATTAGCACCAGAAAATTCTTGGTCGCTGGATCGGAAGAGGTGGCCTACCTCTTGGCCGCCGCGGTCACTTGCAATCCCCCCACTTGATTTCTTTTTGTGGGGTTATGTCAAGAACGACATCTTCAGAACCAAAGTGTCAGATATTATTGAACTGAGGCGTCGAATCTGTGATGCACTCACCTTAGTTGCTGCCAACATGTTAAATACCTGGCGTGAAATTAAATATCGGCTCGACATTTTACATGCGACTAATTATGTTGAATTTTACTGAGGAACAATTGTGAATAATAATAATGATAATAATAACTTTAGACTGTGCTCCATGCATTGATGAAAGCTATTCATTTCTATCTGTATTACTTTAGAAGAAATGAATTTTTTTTAATGCAACAATCCTTTTGGGACACCCTGTATATCTCTGAATGTCATATCCGACACTGGACATGTCCTTCTGCTTCTGCAGTCGTCTCTCCCAGTGGCGATCTGAGATCCAGATAATGGTGGAGTTTGGGGAACCCCGATTCCTCCCACCCACTCGTAAAAGTGCATTTTAACGGTCGGCGCGTCCTAAAATAGAATCTTAGTTGGAGCCACGTTGCGGGCGCACAGTCTTACATCCAGAATCCGAGGTGGACCTTCTTTTCTTGGATGCCCCCTTTAATACCGAAAGGAATCGGTTTGAACCAATCATGTCGACGTCTAGCACATGGACGGCCCGTGACATTCAGCAGTAGTAGCTCGTCAATGGTGGCAGGATAAATTGGCCTAGGCGTACCCTGCCTCCATCTCCTACTGCTGAATATCATGAGCGGCCACTGGTCTGACGGAGGAAATATCGTGCCAGCTTGCTGCACTAATTCGCTGAGGGTCGATTTTAGCGTTACTTTTTGGTGGTTCGCACCAAGTTGTTTTTAGGGGATGCGTAGCTACCAAGGCAGCCAAAGTCTTTGTACTAGCAATGGCATATTATGTTCGAAGTGCTTCGGTCTTCCTTAGCTGCCAACATTTGCCCTTGGCCGAAATTTCACATCGGTCAAAGGATGGCCAATGTATTAGACCATTCAAATGCTAATTCCATTCAGCCAATTTTCAGCTAATGAACAGCAATACCATAACTCCTTTATCTGAGGACCATCAAGTTTGTTAGATAAAATAGAAAAATGTACAATAAAGAATCAAGTTAATGGGATCATGAGGACCTGCCATTTAATCTTTCATAAATGCGCCACAAGGTTTATAATTGTCCAGGTTTTTTTTTGCAGAACTTCGATTTTCGATTCTTTTCATTAATTCTTCCTCCACACCGCATATAACTTTTTTGGCTGATTGACATCCGTCGACTGGAATCTTCCCGGAATGTGATTTTTTCCCCATCAGTTACAGGGGGAAACATAAAAAAAAAATTAATTGGGGCAGAGATCAGGTGGGAAAATTTGCAGGATGGATCTTGCTTCCCCTCACAGAAAAGGACCATTCAAACATTCTGCCATTACAGTATTATTAGAATGCCACTAATTGGGCCAATGCAAGAAAACCATGAATGAATGATCTCCGCTAATGACATGTCAAAGAATGGCAAGCCGGTCTCAAGTCATGAATGGGCTGATGCCACTTACCAATGAAATGCTCAAGGACGGTAAGCCAGACAAGAGTCGCGTATCGGTCAAGGGCGGCTAACCTATGCGATGATCTGCCGACATTGTCATGCAAGAGCCTTCGTTGGGCAAGATAAAATCCTCCGCTAGCACGCAGTTTCCAATGATTACATGGTAATATATGATTCCCATCCTCGCAGTCGCTTTCCTTATTCATATATGGAGAGTCCCAAAAGGTCAGGAATCATAGAATTATTCTGCATAATTAATTTCTTGCTTTCTTGAAATCACCCGCTTCGTCAGCCACAAAATCTGATCCAAGTGACCCAGATTAATCCCAATTGACCCAGTGATCCAAAGGAGCCAGTGATCAAGGTGAGTCACTTGGACCAGATTTTTTGGTTAACGTACCCTTGTCGTTACAACATCCCCTCCTTTAGGCGAATGGGTTCCAAGTAACCTTGGCAGGAAATAATCCAGAGAAGCTTCTAGTGGTGCCAGTGCACTTAAGTGAAGTACTGTACTGATTCGTGAAACGATCAAGGGATTTACAGTCTTCTGATGAGATATATACAGATTCGTCTCAGCCTGATCCAATACTGGGCGAACACGTAAAAAAAAGTACCGAAAAGTAATACCAATTGAAACAATTATCAAGCTACTACAGAGCAAGAAATACGGGGCCAATATCGACAGGTTAGAGACAAATGTACTTGTCTCATCTTGCTAATGTTTTCTTTGATGATGGGAAGTACTGGGTTAATATTGTCAGAACTGAACATTATTTTGCAACTAAATAGCCAAAGGAAGCATAATTTGAGTTAAACGAACTGGGTATGTTTTTGGCACATCATAGACAGAAACAGTACTGAAAAGTACAGGGCGTGTCAGAGAAGACGGGCACATTTGAAATCTATAAACAATTCTGGTTTAATGATATTTCTCTATTATTTACAGGTTTTTATATTCTTCAAGGTTTGGAATTTTACCAGTCATGGATCAATCGGAATTTGCTCACCATATGAACATTGTAAAAAAAATTTTTTGCAAAAGGCTCTATTGTGCTGGCGCAACGTGAATCGAAAGCACGTTGCGCTTCTTCTGCCCCTCTCTTACTCTCCTCCAAGGCAATCCTCTTATACTCCTGACTCATGTCGAAGTGCACGTTGCGTTTGCACAATGGAGCCTTTTGCAAAAAAAAATTCCACTATGTTCGTATGGTGAGCAAATTCCCATTGATCCATAATAGATAAAATTCCAAACCTTAAATAATATTAAGATCTATAAATAAAAAAGAAATATCAGCAAACAAGAGTTTTTCCTAATTTCAAATGTGTCCACCTTCTCTGACACACCCTGTACTTTAAATTAAAAGTTCATAGGCTGGGATAAGGTTAAAAAATTGGCGCCATACCCCCACTCTTACAACAATTAGTACAAAGCCAAAATGAGCATGTGCAAATTTTACTTGACTGAGGACACTGTTGTAAATTTTTTGGGAACTTAAAGCTTAAGGAATATTGGAAACTAGATACCATTGAAAAACCAACTGGATGCCAATCAGCAAAAACTTGAGTCAATTTAGTCAAGAGAGTGTTGATATGATAGCAAGTGCATCTGTTATGGTTCCCAAGGACAGGGCTACTACTAATGGTACTGAGGAATACTTAAATCAGGTGTCTTGACTTAGCACATTGGTAGCTCTTAGAGAAGTGTCTCCCCACACAGCACAGTGATATCCCCAACAACTTGTCCAAAGATCTTTAAGGTATATCCTGAAGTAACCTTCATATCCCTTTCTGGATATCTTTAAGACATCCTTAGTTGAATGCTTCTGGATATCCTGTGAGGGAAGTCTTGACATTGTCAGTTGAACACTTTTTGATATCTTGAGGAAAATGTCTTCAGGATATCTTAAGTATGTCTTTAAAATATCTATTCATCTTTGTTGCCTTCAGTCAGGTGCATAACTTTGACAGAAGGTGTCTCCCAAGTGCTCTGATCTACAATGTCAGATATTTTCTATCAATTAATCTACATGAGTCGTACAGAGGAGAAGTAATGATGTTTGGAAAATATATCAGGAAAACTGCCACTAAGATAAGTGAAAAAATAGAGGCATGAATTTTAATTCATTCCATTATATTCTCATTAATTATCAGGCTGTCTGGAAAGTCCATGCAACTGAACCCAAACTGTGTGTGTGAAACATTTAGTTTACACCATCATGTAAAGTGAGCATTTTTTTTTACTATGGTTTACTCCTTTTGGGCCTGACTGCATCATTTCCTTTGTAAGAAAAAATTAGTTTTCACAACCATGTCTGCCTATTATAAAAAAAAATTTAGAGCATCAAACAGTCATAACATTTTTACTCAAAAAGGGCTGAATGCCACCAAAAACAGTAAGGAGCTGAAACATGTTTATAAGGACTCCTCTCCATTGTACCATACCATCACAAAGTGGGTGGCTGGATTCAAGGACCCAGCACATGGCTTAGATGATGCACCTTGAAGTGGCCGTCCATTGACCATGACCACAGATGTAAACGTTGAAGTTGTGGAACGTGTTGTGATGTGTTTTGACAAGTCTCTGTCCACTGCGTAGCTGACGAATTGGACATTCCGAAAACCATAGTCCACGAGATCATGAACAATCACTTGGGCATGAGCATGGTCTATACACATTGGGTGCCAAAATTGCTGACACCATGTTCTAAGCCACAAGTTGGGTCCTTGAATTCAGCCACTTTGTGGTGGTGCAGTATGATGGAGCAGAGTCCTTATAAACTTGTTCCAGCTCCTTAGTGATTTTGGTGGCATTCAGCTCTTTTTGAGTAAAAATTATGACTGTTTGATCCTCAATGTTTGACATTTCCAAAATGTAGGCAGACAAGGTTGTGAAAACAAATTTTTTCATGCAAAATAAATGATGCAATTAGGCCAAAAGGGGTAAACCATGGTAAAAATGCACACTCTACACGATGGGGTAAACTAAATGTTTCATGCATGCAGTGCAGGTTCAGTTGCACAGACTTTCTGGACAGTTTGATATGTCTGACTGGCATTTCTGGATACCACTATCCTGATTGGACACCAGAGCACAGGGATTCCCCCCCTGAATAACCAGAGGAAGTGCACTTTGGATCCCATTCCCACAATTAAGTCTTGGTTTAAGGAGATGTCTATTGAAAAAAAAACAAAAATATGTGCATTAGCTTGAAATTCTGAAGCAGACTGACAGATCGACTGTTGCTTAAACTACCTTGGACCTCAGGTTGAAAGGATCTCTGGACCCTTAGAAAAGGAATTTTCCATTTGGTTTGATTGGAATTTCAATTGTTGTCAACTGTTGGACTGGACGGCACAGTGAATGACATCTTATTTTCCCTGTTCCTGCCAGAATGAACACTTTCCCACTTTTAACAAGCAAAAAGCAAAAGGGTCTTCTCTACAGTAAGGTCTCATGCCACTGGGATGGTTTCTGTATTTGAAAATTTTAGGACACAGTCTCAAAAGTTTATGGAATAAAATACTGCATGATGCCAAGATCAGTGAGGGTGTTCAGTGCAGATGGCTTCCATCCTTTGTTTGCTGCAGGATTTATTGGACTGGGATGCATCATCACTTCAACAGCTATTCCCTCAATATCTTGGTTCTTCAATGCTGCCTTGGCACGTTCTTTGGCATAATTTCCAACACCAATTATTGTCTTAACTTTAAGTAACTTCACAACCTCACACAAGGCCACATCACATATCTCCTGAATCTGTCTTCTCACATCAACCTGAAAGAAAGTTATAAAACATATATATAACTTTGAATGACCTCAGGGTACTTTTGAGGCTGAAATATCAAACCCACAATGGCAATGGTCCCATTTCTGAAGTTCATGTATCTTCATGGTTTCAAATAGATTTATGTGGCATGTGAAAGAGGTAGTCATAAACTAGTATTGAACATGATCAATGTTCAGTAAGAATTGGTTTCTGGAGAGTTGGGCTATTATAAAATTATCTTATTTCCTGGCATAAGTAAATAGTGGAATTAATATATGCACCAACAGATGTTGACCAACAAAGATGTGATGAACCACAGGATTATGCACTGGTGGACAAAATTAAGGTAACAATCACAAAAATCAGAATGACGTTTTTATTCTGTGAGGTATATAAATGAAAATTTGTACAGAAATACAATTCATCATTACAGACAAGTTTCTTTAAAAAAGAGAAATTTTGGACTGGTAATAACAGAGTTATGATAGTTATATCATGAAATGGAAAAGTACATGTTCCAACAGACATGCTCAGAAGAAGTCACTAGCCACCACCTATTTTTTTTTTTATAGGCTTCACTTTTTTGCATATTGCAAAGCATGTAGATCTATTTTGATTGGATATTCGGAGTGTGCATGTAAAATTACATATAGTAATGTATTCTCACCTTCTAATTTACTATTAAAATATTGATGAAAAATGATGTTACCTTAATTTTGTCCACCAGTGTAGTTACCATATTCTAATAGCCCATTTAATTTGGCTTCTTTTCCATGTTCAAGACTTTTTTGATTTTGCAATATGACTGTACAATATGACAATCAGCAATATACAATATGGATGGGAAATGTGAAATCTGAGCATGACTACTGAGAGATACACAAACAGAAAACATTTCTGATTTAAATATTGTATATTACTTTCACTCTTTCACTGCAGTTATCCCATTTTCGTTCTCACCTAAGAGATATCAGGGGTTTTAAACTTGGCAGGGAAAGAGTAAACATTTTTCACTTTTGACTTCAATAGAATGCAGTATGTCTGCACATGTTTTGGCAGGGATGGGATGAAAATATGACAAAATGTAATTTTCGTCCAAGACATCCTTATTTTTCATTCTTGTCCACTTTTTGTCCATGAAGAATGAATCACTTTCATTTTGTCTACCTGATGAACATTGAACAATTTTTCGTTAGGGTTTTTTGTCTGAATTTTCATTGCTGAAAACTTCGTTTGACACCATTGTCAGAGCATTCAGTAACCATGGTAGTTATGGCAGTGCTCCATCTGAAGAGATCCCCATGTTAGGGGATGTCACACTATGAATCAGATAGTGCTACTAAGATCCTACCTCTTCCAAAACTGGTACTGTTTCACAGTAAATCCAAGACTACCCCATCACATGTAAATCCATTCAAACCCTCAAAATGCCCGGGAAATGGGAATCATATCAAGAAGAGCTCACCTTAATTTCAGGTGGAGTCACATTCTTTCCTGAGTCTCGCAAGTAAGCAAATGGGCAGTAATTGTGGACAAAACAATTCTTAAAGAACTTTTCAGGGGTGCCACAAATCTCCTGGAACAGCTGCCAGAAACGTTGTCCACTAACTTCAGTTCGCTTGCAATCAAGGCCTAGCACAGGACGGGTTGGATTTTCTCTGTCTGGTTTCTTCACTGGGCCTGAAAGCTTGAACCAGTCTCTCACAACATTCACTTCACCAAAAGGAACCTGTATTAAGGAAGTGAGGTTTCATCAGGAAAAAAGCAACAAATACATGTAGGAACTCTAATAAAAATGTGAAACTCACTCCAGTCTGACACATGCCCCAAGGCCCTGGATTCATGCCCAAGAACAAAACATCCTTGTGGCTATTGCAGAATTTCTTGATGAATGTCTTGTGAATCTCAGCAGCATAAGACAAGGGATTGTACACAAACACAATTGGGCTTGGATTATCTAGTGCCAACAGTTCAGCAACTTGCCTTTTTTCAATGGAAAGGAATGTCTCTGCAATTTCTGAATCTGATGCAGATTCAAACCTCACAAGCTTGGATATTTCACTCCCTCCAATCACCTCCTCATCTCTTGATATCTTCCTCTTGCTCATCTAAAATAGAATAGAAAAATTCACTAACTCTATTCAGGATGATAAATTGTATTGTTTTCCTTTTCAGTCTCAGCCTATGCCAAACATTTTGGAATGAGTTTATAATTTTCATTGCAAGACCAACTTGTTCTCAGCATTCACCATGCAAAAGAATTTCACCAAGACCTCAATGCTGAAACTGGGGAGACCTATGGGCCCAATGCATAGAACAGGTTCATCGAGAATTTTATTAGCTGCCTTCTAAAATTGAGTCAATTAGTTACTATTTCTCTTTCTTCCCATTTTTACTTGAATTTCTTGAATAGCTATGTTGCACTTTACTCCATCAATAAAGGTGCCTTACATCATTTTGACTAAGTCAGTCTGTTTTATAAACTGGGATAAGTATATCTCAAAACATTGTAGCTATAAAAAAATTCCACCAATCTGGCTGGGCCATCTAGTCCTGGTGCATCAGAGCCATAGGACAGGCAGTGTTCCTGTTCTCCAGGTTAACCAGTACAGGTCAATAAACCTAGGCTTTGGACCACTAACAGCTGCATGCATCTTTGAGAATTTTTTTGTCCTGTCTGGGTCTACAAATCTAGGCTAAAATGGATATAGGGTAAAACCATCTAAGTTTGGACAATTAAGTAAACGTGGACACTTTAATGCACATTGTTAAGAAATAGGCATTTGTCAAATTGTGCTTAGAAAGTGTTATTCCTAGCATACAAACATACTAATGACTTGCAATGGCTATGATTGTTTCACACAATATTGAAATATAAGGGCATAAGTAAAAGCCACATTTCTGACAGAAGATATCCAAGAAAATGTACAGAGCCAATCTTACTTGAGAAGCACTTCACACGTTGTTTTGTTAATTTCCGGTACTTCTTTTAAATTATAAATTGTAAAACATTTTCCTATAATTTTAATGCTACCCATCTTTTGAACAGGTATCGATTGCAGTTATAGTGATGAAATTCAATTTAATAAGTTAATATTGATTCAGAAACTCCACGTCAAAGTTGTAAAGTGAGTTCAACTCACCCCATGCTATAGTAATGCTAAAGCAATTTTTACAACTTGCTATGAAACTTGCAACTTGCTAGTTGTTAATCACAGATAAACCTAAGCTAGATTTATGTCCCACCTGTGGATACTTAATGACAGCACTTAGTAGCAGGATGTTGCTAGTTGAGTCAGTGTGATTTAGATCACCAACTGGGCATCAAAAAAACCAGTCCATCTATTGTACCTAAGCTGTCAATATTCACTACAAATTACTTTAAATAAAAACCATCATAAGTTGGTTCTTGTGATTTCAAACAGACTGTATAAAGAGGGACAGGTGGTGCGATGCTCTTACGTGAAAATGGAGGTGCACCCAAAATGTGATGCCTTGATAGCCTTGTGTAAATTTCACTAAATGCCTGATACATTATTTTCCTGCTCATATATGTAATATGCAGATGAAGTCAACAGTGTTCTTCCTTTTTCAGAAACATACTTGGACTCTGAAAGAACTACAGATTCAATTTTGTTAAATACAGTTGATGCTCGATATAGCATACCTCTATATAACAAATTTTCCTTATAATTAAATTTTATTGTGTCCCTTGGAGTACATTATATTGAGTGACAAACCTCTATAAAATGAATTTATTTAGCCTGTCCCTTTGAGTTCGTTATATTAAGCATCGACTGTATAGCCAATGAGAAAATTCCAGAAAAACTGCAATGCAGGTAATACCTACCTCATTTTGTAGCTCTCGATATTTTCTATGGTATCAGCTCTGCTGGCAAAAATTACTTAGCATCCCCATCACTTGTCTCTGCCTGTTTGGTGGTCCTCTATTTCCCATAGAAAGCATTCTTCTTATGTTGGCGATTAGCACTCTTCCTCTCGTGATCCATTTGGCAGGTGATTAATGATTGCTGCTGAAGCAGGGACGATCGGACGTGAAAGAGAGTGAGAGAGAAGTGGTTGATCAACGAAAATCTAATCTAGACCTAGGCCTGTGATGGGCTTAACACGATTACTTGGCCGATTCCGTCTATTCGAAAAAGATTAATAAAAACATGAGCATTCAACTAATAAAAAATGCACACACACGAAAAAGATGCTCACCTGATGCAGACTGGTAAATTCCATCCAAGCTCACATGTGATACACCTGCACGTGACCACAGCTGTAGGTCGCCATGATAGCGTGAGGGAATACGTACGCTGCGACCCCAGGCAAATGTTTCTTCAAGCATAAGGGGCCATGCACATTGACTGCGAAGAGCTGCGTTGCGACCACTGCGATCGTCGCAGTTCGTTGCAATCGGTCGCATTGGAGATGCGTGGGACCTCCGCAGTCGGTCGCAGTACGCTTCGCAATGGAATCGGACGAATCATTTCCTGTCGCATCTTCACATTAGTTCGTGCTGCGGATATCTATTGACTGCAGGTTATGGAGTCGTTAGATAATGATTTGACAGCTCTTTTGATGGAATGACTTCGGCGGTAGATGATGCCAATCATCACCATTGAATCTTCATGAGCGAGATGCATAGATATACGCACGGCCGGATTAAGAAGCTGCGAGGCCCAGGGCAAGTGGATTCTTGGGGCTCCCTCCCTTAATCCAGTTCTGGATATACGAAATAAATCGATTATAACCCCTCTGTACCGTAGGAGTGGTTGGTACAGCACTAAGACCCCCCCGCGCTCGGAGCGCGAAAATTTTGGAGGAAAATTTAGATTTAGCACCTTTTCAAAGTCGGGACTGAAGTGATAATTTTAAATAGTTAGGTTACCGCACCAATTTCAGAGTTATTTTACTTCACAATAATTAACTGAGTCTTTATGAGATTGGCTTCACCATTCTAATTTTCGCCAATTTTGCGGTTTACCTGTAGTTACCCAATTTATTTTATTTCCGAACATGCAAATTCCAAAAATTATTACATAAATTCAAAAATTCCCCATTAATATATTTTAATATTTTAAATGCTCTGAAACAAAATAAAAGTTTTATTTGAAACTAAAATTTATAGCTAACTAAATTTTTTTTTTAAGAGTTCCACATAAGATTGATAATATGCCTAATCGTTGTTTGAAATATTTGCAACGCACCGTTTCTGGCCTAAGTTAGTTTATTTTTGTTTCAAAATGTAATTCTTGTCAGGTTTTGAACTGCACAAAATATTTCAGAATTGCACATATCTGTTACAACTGCACATTAAAATATGCCCTGCAGCAAACGTGAGGTGGTTCAAGAGCTATTCCCCTAAGACAGGAAAATTCTTCCTCGTCCATTCTACTCACTTGATATTTTCCGTAGGGAATTTTTTCTGTTCGTTAGCTTGAAGAACGGCTAACGCTTTCATTTAGAACGTTCAGCAGAGGGTGGCTAGAATGAGTAAGTGCACAGCAAAGCAGAAACGTACAGTGAGGTGCATATTTTGTACGTTATGAGGTACAAATGTATGTCGTGAAATGTGTTCGTTGAAAAGGTACCGAAGCAAATTAAGGCAGACATGTGTACCCTTCTTATCTCTATTCATAAGGTACGGATGGGGTCTTTTTCTTTAGAATTCCATGTGTGCCTCGTTTCGGGCCTAAGGGCGTTTGAGAAACCTGCTTATGAACTTCATTTTTCAGCTTTGAAGTGAGCATTTGTGTCCTCGTCTTCCAGCACAACGTCTCCAACAGTCGCCGAACTGTCACAGATAGGACAGTAACACCTCGGAAAGGTGTCCACGGAGCAATAGGACGGAATGGCTGTCTCACTAACAACGTCTTCTGCAATAATCATGGAGATAGTGGATAGCACAATTTTTAAGGACAATCTTTCAAGTTTAGCGAAAGTTGGCCGCTTATTCGTCCGAGAGTAAAAACTCCTAATCTGCAGTTTACACTTCGCAATTCTCGTGCAAAATCCCAGCATTTAAAATTTTCCAGAATCATTGATTGTCATTGAAACATGATACTTATAATTTTTTACCTAATACTATTTTTAAAGTATCATGATGAGATGAATACACGGAAAGGAAGAAAACTCTTCTGAGATCCAGTGCGTCCCGACTCGAGTTCGAATGTTCGGGGGAACATAAACGCCATCTTATGCCTATTCTGAGTATTGTATTGGGAACCCGGACATCTGCGTCTGCAACGTACACATGTGCACATCTGGACCACATCAGCACAAAGGTACGTGCGGAGGTACGTATGCGAACCCGAAGGACACAAATAAGAACGTTTCAGGGGTGTTTCAGTCAATTAGTCACCATTTTAAAATAATATAACTCTTGTAGTATGAAAGCCATCACGACGACTCACCTACCATTAGATAGAGCAGACTTCAAAGTTTTTTCTGTTCAATTCGCAATCCTAACTTGAGCCGATTCACATATCAACATGGTGGACAACCCATTAACACATTAAATTTCGCGAACGCATCATCTCAACCTGCTATCCACACATGTTCAACAGTGGTTTGTCGCGGCCCTGACATCAATCTATGTCACTTTCTCATTTAGGGATACCTAAAGGAATGTGTTCAAGAGAGCTACCCGGTCTGTCCCTGAACTGAAGCATGCAATAACGGACTACGTTCATGAAATTGACGGTGAGTTGCTGAGTAGCGTGATGAACAGCATGCTCTACGCCTCCGTGCTGTCAACAATGTGCATGGTTGTCACATTGAGCATATCTTGCGCTGAATTTCACATGAAAAAAAACTTTGAAGTCTGCTCTATTTAGTGGCATGTGAGTCGCTGCTGTAGCTTGTATACATTAAAAGTTATATTATTGTGAAATGGTGACTGATTGAAACACCCTGTACTTTGCTGTGTCAGCATTAGATTTTGTTGTAAAGGTAATTCAACTCTGACATGTATACGTGTTTTTAGAATGTAATAAATACTATGCATGGGTACTTATTGGGCCCTCTTGTGGGCGCCCCTGCGACATCTCTACCCAGTCACCCGTTCAAAAAATATTAATTTAGTACTTAAAAAACTACTAGAGGTGAAACCAGAGGTTTGGATCTGGAAATGGTCATTACCTAAATAAGTTCGGCAGCTGGACAATGAACCCCGCGCTCCTAGCCAATACTTTTGCATTACGGTGGTGCTATTCCCGAGGTTGACTCGCAAAACGAGGCGACAGCTCAGAGTGGCGAGTAATCGCTGGAATATTTGAGATATGAGTCGCCGCCACCGGGACAGCCGAGAAGGAACGCCCCTGGGCCCATTCAACAGCTGCACGGAAATGAACAAGGGTTTGTGCAAGGGGCCACTACGGTCTGAGCACTTGATCGGTGAACAGCTCCGGTAGCCAGTCAAGCATCCGACCTGGGAGACCAGGGGCCTGTACCTCGCCTCTGTTAAACTTCATATACTGGCGTCTAAAAGAAACGTTACAAGGTAATTTAGGGCTTGCCCGCGATGTAGTTGTGATAGCATTAGATTTGCCTTTTGCTGAACAAGCCAGCACCGCTTGAACATATATAGCTTTAACAACATTGAACCGCTTACAGAAGTAGCAGGTATAACTCGATTTCAGATGCACTCTGAACTTCAGTAAACTCGGAAATATCTCTGTAAGATAAGTAACCTACTTCTTCTGTAGGACTAAATCCTTACAAGAGAAACTCAGAAAGTAAGCGCCATAACAATCTCAACAGGTGTCCTTCAGGGAAGTTTCTAGCTTCATCACATTTCAAACTTCCTCTCAGGAGAAACCTTAAGCCATCTTTACAGTAGCACACATTGTGTTTGGACTTCTCGCTCGTGCATATATGGATGCGTGATATTGTACAGCATATAAAAAAAAATATGCCCAGCTTTTAATCAATGACTTTTCTCTTACAGGAACGCTTTTTACCGAACTTATGCAGTGCATAGACTGATATCTTTCCAACAGAATTTTGAAATTTCATAAGAATTCGTTGCACTGAGACAAGGCAAAGAGCAATTACTTAAAAACCCCACTCCAGGAGTGGAGTGGAGAAAATACCTTTGCTCTCTGGCCATTCATCATGGAGGCCACATAAAAAAAAATCCCTTATATTAAGTTAGTCCTTCAGCTGGTTTTCAATCATATATGATTTGAATATGTTGAATCAGCATGCATCAATGAAGAGTGTCATAAATTTCTCCAGGTGTTTGTCCCAATTACTCAGGAAGAGGTAGAAGATGGAGGAAAGTCATTCGGAGAGGATGGGATGGGGTTCATTTTCAATTATCCAATATTTTTACCTAATCGCTCAGAGCCTTCCCTGTGCCAAATGAAAATAGTTGCTACATAACATGTCTGAGAATATGTCATATTATGCACAGTGCAAGTCCAGGGAAAATAACATCAGGAAAAGGGTAGATATGAAAGAGGAAAGAATGAATTCAAATGAGATTGTTCGACATGGCCTACATGATATCCAACATGAAAGTGTTTGACATTTGTTATTCAAAGATATAACAGATTTCATGATATATTTCAATAAAAGCACAGCAGTCATTTGACTTTTCTTGCATGATGAAGCATGTTCTATTTTTATTGATTGACATGAAAATCCAGAAACAAATGTTTATGACTATTATTATCACAGGCAAATCTCAGGGAAGCATCAGCAATGAAAGTTATTTAAGCAGGGAGAGAAAAAATCCAATAATTGATGCATCACTAGAGGAAGGAACATTTCCCTCTGTCTGTTTATTGGCATGGATTCTTTTTCTATCTCCTGAGCATGAAGGTAGTTTTTCAAGGGTTTTCTGTGCCTCTTGTTTCAGATCAAACAGCAGCATCTGTTTCTGCAAAATTGGCACAACTAGATTGTACTTTACAATCTGCTTGTTAAGTGTCTTCACCCTGTCCTCAAGTTGAGCAATGTCTTTGCTCCATTCAATCACAGAATACTCATCCAAAGGAAAAGCTCCATGTCTAGCACGCATTTCAGACAGGGTACACTTGATGTTTGATTTCTCTTCGCGGATTTCCTTTTCCAGAAGAATCCATTCTGGCATATACCCATTTTCCACCAACACCTACATTGAGAGAAAAATCAGATAGCTTAGCAGAGTTTACAGACTTGACATCCAGTATGAGTGCACAAATCATTGCTTATGTGTTGAATGATCTCACTACTCCTGCAAAGGGGTTCTCACCTGATTCAACTTGTGAGTGATAGTATCAACGTATGGGTTGGGAGGCTGATACTTGAGAGGTTTGCCTTTTCCAGGAAGATTCTCAAAATCACCTCGTGCCATGGACTCCTGAATCAAATCTTCCACCAGTCTCTCCATCCCATACCTGGATGCACAGCTCACCTGGCTCCCTCAAATATTGTATTATGGTGCCAACACAGGAGCGTTTAGGAAAAGTCCTCACCTAGTCTTGATCTTCCTGGCTTCTCTCTTGTCTTTGGTGACCAATGAATCCTCATACTGGGCATGGATTCCCTGAATTCGGTGTTCTAGCACATTTTCCGAAGCTTTGGCAGCTCGATATGCCTGATATTGCTTCTGTCGTTGTGCTGGTGTTCCCGCTCCAACTCCGTCAAAGCTGAGATATTGACGATGCTGTGGGACAGTGTGCTGTGAATGAAAAATATTTACACTTACCAGAAGCAAAGAAAAGGCCCATATGTGGAACACGATACATTCAAAGAAAACATACTTTAATCTCAAAGTCTTGCTCCTCTTTTTCCTCTGCAGAGATGTGAGCTTTTTCCTTCGCAAGATGCTCTGATAGCGTCCTGTATGCAGCTTCAATTTTGGCAAATGTAGTGGCGCATGCATGAGTAGATCCACTGTCAGGGTGGTATTTCTTTGCAAGTTGGAGAAAAGCTTGCTTCAATTCCATTGCATCGCAATCATGAGATACCTTCAACAGCTCTCGGCATTCCTGGAGGAAAAGAAGTTGCCATGGTGAGTGGGAGACAAGGATATGAAAAGTCAATGTTGGGCCTAACGCAATGGAAAAAATTTCATAGCCCATGAGCTCATGAGATTCAGTTAGGACTATGTGGACTTCTGACCTGAATTTCTCGCTGATATTTGAAAGATGTGGTTTTCCATCTCCTGGTATAGCTCAGATTGAACAAAGAGAGCAGAGAGCGGTTGAGGATGAAAAGCTGAGATGATTGGAGTGTAGCCCAGGAGTGCATGCAGCATCTGAGCACCATAACTGGCTTGTGACCAGCAAGTTTCACTTCCATCACCATGCTACCATCATAAAGAAGAGTTCTGTACTAGAAAAAAAGCCAAATAAGAAATTTTTATGCCTTTTGTAACTGGCTTTTTGATCGTTTTAAATTAGTTTTGGTCCCTTTTCCTTTTTTTCTGAATGGAAAGTGAGTTCCGAGAGTCTTGTACATTTGTATATCAGCGTTCTGGGCGAATATTCGAGGGAGGGAGTTCGAGGGAGTTCTGGGTAAGTGAAGATAATTTGTAACATCTTGTACCTGGATATCACCATATCTTATTGTGCTTTGGATCATATTGCATGAGAGGTATTGGAATGGGCGTGTTTTATGTCAGTTTTATGTTAATGGATAATCTAATAGTTGTCATGGGTGGTTAGGATTAAAACAAAGGACACAAGTTAAACATGGTGAGCAACCTACTCCAGGAAGCCTTAGCTATTGCATTTTTGCACCGTAGACGGGATTGGAGGCGGAATACTAGGTTGTAACAAAAGTTTTTGTGCATAAATACAAAATTTATTTCAGCATCATTTTCTAAATAATTTTTTTTTGCTTATATACTTATTTGGTATCATTTTGAAGCGCGTTTTATGCCGCGTATAAATATATGTTGCTTTTTTTTTATAAATCGCTAAATTTATCAAAATTGCAGCGTTCAGAATGTGTGACGAAAAAATCGTGCTTCGCGGACTGTTGCGTTGTTTGTATGCACAAAAACTTTCGTTATAAACTAGTATTAAGTTCTTTCAGCATTCATTCACGTCTTCCTTTTGGCCGAAAATTGCGAATCAATTCTCCTTCCCCTCCATCTCAATAGAATGTTCTAAAACTGCTCGCAAGGAAAGTCCAAAACTTTCCCAAACAAAGCACTAAAGAAAATATGGTAACTTACACTATTTCCATCCTCTGTAGCTTTAACTTCATGCGTAAGTTTGAATGCCAAGTTTTTGAGAAAATTTCAAGTCGCAGAATTTTTTTCTTCCCGTCTCGACGCAATAAAGAGGAATGGAAGGGGCATTTCCTTCGAAATGTCGAAAGTTATATTTCCAGACGGAAATCTATCTTTGAAGGCGATACAGTCTATAAGGACTAAAAACGGGTTTAATTTCCAGGAATTGTAATCACTTTTTAACATACCTCAAGGTACAAGATGGGGCTTAGTGAGGAGGTCCAAATAAATTTCTCAGTTTTTCGTGCCTACAGACGAAACACCAAATGAGACATCGGAAGGAAATTTACCAGGTATCATATCCAACATGTTTTTCCCGAAAATTTCAATTAATTTGATCAGTCAGAGCCGGAGTAGCAGCTATCTTTTCCACAATGTCAAATGAGCATGTGTCTCTGCCTACTCAGCTGAAACCGGGGTAGGACGAGTCCAATTCGAGCAGTGAGCGATCCTGCCAATGTTTCATGAGGTATTCCGTCTGCAGGTATGTAAAAATTAGGAACTTTTGTTGGAGTCACCCAATATTTACGGAAAGAGCCTGTCAATCACCTGCTGAGCGAATTGCTTTTTTTTTGTTTTGGCCAAGTAGGCATCTAACCACTTCTTAAAATTATATACGAAAAGGCTGGGGCAACATGTTCACCTAATGCGTTTCTCGCATTCCCAATCCGACAAGTAAATATCTCATTCAAAAACTTGAGCTGATTCCTTGTTTTGCTGCTACCATCGACTTGGAAAAAAAAACAAAAAAACAAAACCTACCTCACTGAATGTTATCGTAGCACTTCGTGATGTTTACTGCTTAGATGCCATCCCACTTCGTTAACCTTCTCTCCAAGAGGAGTTGCAACGCGTCTAAACGTCGTTCGTATGAAATTCTTCGTGTCACAATATTTCAGTGCTTGGCCTCTGAACTCTCTTCAGAACCACAGAGTCCCTTTTACTTTCTGATCTCCAAAAATGAACGCAATATTCTGAACAGAGCTTTACCAATGCCGTATACAATGAAATAATGATGTGCAAGCTCATATAGCCTAAGGAATGCCGGATGAAGCTTAAAATCCAGTTGCATTTACTTACCGTCACCTGCGCGTACTCAGACGAAATTCAGTCCCTCACCGATAACCCCAGTAATTCCCTCTATCGATATGCCCCCACCTCCTCCTTCTTCAAATCTATCCTATCAAAATGCATTCAGAGAATCATGGTTATTATAGCCAATACAATGACTTATACATTCACTCTTATTCTTTGTTATAGCCAATGTGAATAATGTGAACTATTTACACTCATCTTCATGAGATTTTTTACCTTCAATCCTCCAAAGCAGTCAGTCCCCCTCGGCTTGTCCTATCTTCTTCCACATCATGGAAAAGCCTATTTTTGTGTCGTCGGCAAATTTACTGACAATTTGCGCCTCTGTATTCTAAGTAAACTAAAACAGAAGCAGTCGCTTGAGGGGTTCCTGAAGAAATCCATTCACGCCCACAACTTCCGAAGACACTTCTACACTTACAATTATTCCTAGCACTAGCCCCGACCGCCAGTTACTAATCAAGTAAATCGCTCTACCCCATGAACTCCTCACTTGTCAGTAAACTCTTGCGAATAAGGTAATCGAAGTCTAATAATTCTAAAGATTTCTCTTATTCGCCTTCTCAGAGATCGGTACGACATTCGCTTAGTTTCCAATCCTTATGCACTTCTCCAATCAACCACGATACTATTATCGAAAATGATCTTTAATGGTGTAACGTTACCACATGAGCGATTTACGCGAAAAGATTATCTGGAATCCCATCGGAACCGATCACCTTCTTCGCTTCCTTATCCTGCTTTTCTTCTGCAATGACGAAATTCTCGAGAAACACGAAACGTATAAAGTACTAACTTTACAACTCATGAAAAGGAAAGCAAAGACACTATTTAATACCACAATCATGCCTCTCTTATTTGCAACTAAATCCCCCTTATCGTTCCTACAGAATGTTGGCTCCTTCTGCCGGCATATTGACATTTAAAAAAATACGTAAAATAAAATAAAACCTCGAAATAATTATTAGCATTAGTCGCTATTCACTCCTAGATCTCCGGTTTTACAAACTCATTTCCCTTTATAATGACCTCGTAGTGACTCGTCATTCCTCGTTCACCCCTTGCCTGTGCACCCTTACGAATCCCATTTCTGCTTGTGACACCGAATCACTCAGATTTAATGCTGCATGTAAAATAGACCGGCCGAATGAGCAATCTCTTTAACTTCTCACCTCAGTGAAACCTTGCAGAATCCTGTCAAGTATCTTCCCCTGCTCCTCTGCCGTTGGACCTAGCAACCTTACTTTCTAAAGTTCTGAAGCGAAACTCGCCTAATGAAATCTGCATCTATATAGACATTCGAAATTTTACCCTGCGGATCGTGGCGCCTCGTCCCTTCGATGTTTCACGTGATGACCCAATGATCCAAAACCCCCAATTATAGAGAACTTTGGCATCAAGCACCAGGTCGTCATACGCTGAGAAAACAAAATCTAATTACACATTTCTGGTCAGTTCCTGTCAGTGCTGCACTCGGAGAGCATCCTGGATCGCATCCAGAAACTCGCTTTTCCTCTTGCTTCCCCCTCATGGCACAGATTTCTTCATATTAGGCATATTAGACGGTTTTCATCTTTGGAGATTAGAAACTCAAAATATCAAAACCGCCTGAGACTTCTTGCTGATATTACTCTTTAACTCAAAGAACGCTGCCATCATCACGAGTAGTATTTTGCTGGTTACAGCATATTCCCAAGATTCTCCCCCCTCAGCCCCACTAATCTCGCACCAGAAAAATTCAGCTACCAGACAACGGACCGAATAAACAGATCTTCCCTGCAAGCACCTTCGTCGCTTCTACTAAATAAAATGATTCCCTGTAATATAAAATCCCCCACCCTTCCTCCCAAGCCCATCTTCACGATTTCAAACTTACCAAGGATGTAAGAGCTCTCATTAGCCTGAATTACAGCAAGTTGTAGAAATCTGAGATTATTTTTGTTTGAAAGATGTTCATGAACTTTTCATTTGCTTGAACATATTTTTTTGCAAATGTTATGACCAATTGATCATTTTGTCATGCTCAGATGAATTTGATTGAAACAAGGCTTTTGCACTTGATAAGATTCTGATTTCATGGGAAATCAAACTCCATGAAATGGTACTTGTACAAAAATGTGTTATTCTGAGTGAGGCTCATCTTCATAGGGTTCATGTTGGAATCCAATTAACTTTAAGTTGAATTGGTATTTTCCTGATCTTTTTTAGGATATCCTTGTTCCAAGACATAGATCATTCCTTCCTGCAATGCTCTAATGTTGGGCACATATGTACAGAGTGGGATTATAATTAAGAGGCCATCCCAAAACTAGTGATGGCATTGGTGATGGTAAGATACCAGACATCAGGGAACACTGCTTACATTGCAATTTATTTTTTGGCGAACTGGAATTTTTCATCCAGATATATCTTTTAAAGAAGTTTACTTTGAAATTTGAATTTCATTGGGCACGAGTCCCCTATTTGTGAAATTCATGATCATGACTACAGGGCATCATGCATATTGTACACACCCTTTGCTTAGTTTCATATTCTTAGTCCTCATGAGGATAGCTCTGTCCTATTGTCCAAATCCAAATTTCCAACGACAATGGTTCACTGATATGAAGCCATGTGGTACCTCAAGGACTGACAAGCAAGAATGGACATTACAGGAGCACATGAACAACTGATACCCCATACCAGATAATAAACATATATGACAGGGTATAAGCAGCCAAACATTATGCATATCTGACATCAACTTTTACCAAACATATATCACGAAACTAAAAAATGCTGATCTTGCATATCTAGGAAACAGAACTATCTGAGATATAGTCCAAATGCCTAGTTTCCTTCTTGAAGGTAGGCCTAGGCCTAGGGAGGGCTCGGTTGACCCACTGGAGGTTACAATAGACTGATTTTACGTATTGGAGGCTCGGCTAAGGGAAACTATCACTGGTTGCATTTCTTCCATTTCCGACTTTATTTTGGCATAGAATTAAAGGTTACTTTTTCCGCTAGGTAACAGGTTTGCGAAGTTGAGCCAAATAGTCTACCTCACTCTTTCGGCCAGAAAGAATGCGATTCATTTGGTCTTCGTTTATCACTTATTCCTTGACGCGTGTCAGTGCTGCGAGGCCGAAGGCCTCGCGAAATCAGTTAGTTTTAGTTTAGAGTAACACCAAAACAGCTAATGAAAACTTTATTAATGGTCTTCTGGTAAGAGAACAAGAAGAGGCGGTGAAGTGACATCACTGTTATTTTGGACAGTATGGCCACTACCATGACACGAGGGTTGCAAATAGAGGGCCGGGCAGTGATTTTCGACGGATTGCATTCCTTCTTCCATGGCGAAAAGTGAATGACAATTCCCACTTTGGTCACTGATTTATCCAGGAGCATTTGAGGTGGTAGATATCGCTTGGTTGGATGACATGCAGCGCCATTCGGAAAGGAGTGAAATCAGTAGAAAATCACTGTATGGATGCACATGAGGTAGGGAGACCAGATTTGAAAGGGAATGCTGGGACATTATCCTAAGTTCTCCAATCGAAAAACGGTCCATGAGCTGCTTGGATAAGGAACGTTAGAAAGAAAGCTCTCCGAATCACTTTCAGGGTAGGGTAGTGCCCCAAAAATGGGACTTTTCCAGAGAAAATGGGGTCGTCCCAGTAATGCCGAGACAATGTCGCTCTAACAAAATAGAATATTGTGACTTAAGTAACTTTCGTGATTGCGGTGACTTAAGTGAGTGATTAGTGTGTGGTGTGGAGCAAGTGCTTTTGTATGGTCACATCCCCTTATTGTAGTTTCCTAGTGATTATTTCCTTCTACTAATTTTTGTTGGAGATTGAGGGAAAATTACAATAAAAAACTGAGTGCTCCCCAGAGCTTTTTGAGTAAATTTAGCCCTTCCTTTTCCCGGTAATTGCTTGAGATTCCACCTGCAATCATGAATTCTGTATTGTTGGAAAGCTTTCTCATTTGCTTTGATACAATATACAATGCTTAAGGATTCTTGCAGGAAACTCAGAGGAGCGGTTAAGGGAAGATGGAAAGATCTGTATTGCATTGTTCTTCTTGAGTGCTCAGTTTTTTCTTTGTACGGTGTGATAGGGGTGACTAGGGACATATGGACCATTTTCCTTTTCATGTCATAACTGTTTCATTTTCATGAAAGAATCGATGAAACTTCTGGTTCTATTGATAAGAATCTAATATCTTGGTATTTGCAGTGTTAGACAAACTTGATTTTAAAATTTGTGACCCTGCAAATATTACTCGCTTGAACGGCTTATAGTACCATTAGTGGGATTTCTTTGAGACAGGTCGTTTTGACTGTCCTAATAAATTAAAACCACATGTCAAGCTGGATTAAAACAATTGCATTCTGATTTTAAAAATAGATTTTAGCTTCTTAAAAATGTTCTCCTTTTACATGTGCTTTATCCTTAACATTTACAAGAGATTGTAGCCTGCTTATTAAATCACATGGTAATGCAAAGGATGCCAGAGGGTTCTTTTTTGCTCCCAAGTTGATTTTGGTGGAACAAGTCATGTAGGACAACAGTGTCTGCTGGTCTTTCTGGACTTATTCTTCTTGACCTATGAGCCATCTAATGATTGGACATTAGTTGCAGTAGTTCATAGTACCCCATAGGACACTATACGTGTAGATAGCTAAAAAAAATTGGCATGTTATTCATATCCAATAATAGCCAAAAAGCATTGTCACAGATTGGCGTTCATGGTTATGAAGTATCAGTTGAGTACTTTGGCACATTTTCAATCACACATGGCATGTCGCTGATTGGAAACTATCAAGAGCACTCAATTTTGAATTGAGAAGGCTTATTGTACTATAGAACAAGTTCTAGAATCAGCCAATGCATGTTCCTGAGAGCATTTTTCCACCTTTTTTTTGGGGGGGGGTGGGGGGGGGGGATGTGGGGGAGAAGGGAAATGATTGGTTCTTTGGTTCATTCATCAGTCCCCTATGTCCATGAGTCCTAGATCCTCCATCTCCTCTACCACTTCAACTTCATTGAAGTTGTACCATGGTGTGTAAGTGTTGTAGACATATTTATATTTTTAAATATTACCCTATTTGTTCATACCAAAAAAAAAACCAACTATAAATAAATTTGACATTTGAAAAATTCCTCAAGCACAGCAGAAATTCTTGTGATGGTCATCCATTCATTGCATGAAATACCAACCATCCCATATGTGCTATCTTCAGGCATTCTCCTCTATTCTCCCTGCTTCCTCTCAAGACACATGCAACATGCTATAGTCGTCCTTGTAGTATTATGACTCTGTTGCCATAGTTACCAACACTCCCTATTCAACCCATTGGATCCTTTTGATGAGTTGTGCTTTCTCAAGATTCATTGTATTTTATTGAACTTTTGCCCTAAGCATTCATCTTTTAGATGCAGTTATTGATAGAGATTGAGGTGTAAGCATCAGATTATGTTCCTGAAATACTTTAACAACCCTGTATGTTGTCCTTCCCTCCCATCTCTCCACATATAGTGGTGGTCAAAATTATTGCATCACTCTGGATTTTAAAACTTTTTTTTTTTACCTTAGTTACTTAATGCATGCAAATTTTGCTTGATAATGAGGCACTTGAGTTGATATGTAATTTGTAAGGATATTTCATTGATTTTTTTGGGCATTGCTTATTTAGTAGGGCGGTGCGAAGTCGATATTATCGAATATCAACAGTACTAGTTGAATTCGATATTGACATCATGAGTAAGTCCCATTCATGCGATATTATAGAAGTATTAACAAAAGTCTGATAATACACAGAGGTATATAAACATAAAATAAACACCAGAATAGAAGTTTGAGGTCGAGCCTAGTTAACCGTGATTTCGTTACTCGTCATGAGTCATGTAAATATCAGCGCGCGCACACGAAATCAATTTCCTCTAATTTTACGCCATTTTAAGCTGCAGACAATGAAGGTTGAAATTAAGCCCCTGCGCTTTTGCTCATAGGAATTCACGAATGACTTTTTTTGTGACGAAAAACCGTACCCTCGCTCATTTTTCTAGGAAGGGAAAAGGAGGAATAAGAAAATTCATAGGCTTAAGTCGTCAACTCACATTTTCACCACTTAAGCCTACTCTGACCGTGTATCACCGAGCTGAAAATGACTTGAGCAATGTTAGCCCTTCCGTTGCGACATTTACTCTAAAATCTCATTTTGACGTGCTCACTATTAACTAGGGATTCATTTCAACAAACATACTCCATAGATTAAAATGCGTTGCGCCAGCTAGGGCGTTGCGGTATGCGCTGAATTCAATACCGCGGTATACCGGTGATACCGCCGAGAAGGGGGGGAGGGGGGGCTGCCTCAGTTACGATCTCCCAGAAAAAGCTACACGAAGAGGGGGGAATTTTTCTATTGTGATGGCGTTGAGATAGTCGCACATTCGCATTTATGTCATTTGAATGGCAAGGGGATTCGTCTGGCCTTACTCCCACATCCTCGGAAGACATGACGAAGATATTGTGTGCTCAGCACACAGAGCAGAGGGCACAGTCAAGGCGCAAGTCGAACCCACAAATTATACATCTTGGTCTTGGGGTCAGGATTAAATACGCTCCGAGACTTCCAGGAAGGCTTCGGTTTTCCCCGGGCGGTGGGCGTCGCCGTGGATGGAGATGGGGAGGATAGTTGACTTTGTATTTTATTTAAAAAAATAGTTCTTCAGGTAGGTCGGCGTGGTGGCGGTATGATGAGAGGCGGTGCCCACGGTTTCCATGCCGTGGTGGTAATGCCAAAAAATGTAGAAGGGGTCGGTATGATGAAAATACCGGTATACCGCAACGCCCTATCAGGCATGTTGTTCCTCCCGTGTCTCCATAGCATGACATAACATGCGTAATTTTCAAAGTGACTGCCCAAAATTAAAATCAGGCAACACTTCTGACCATTTTTATATCGCTGAAGTAATAAGATTTCATATCATGCATAAGTCTATGCATTGTATTATCTGAGTCGAATAAAAGTGGAATTCAAGATGATACAATAATTTCAACCACCACGGCATGCATAACTCTGTCATGATATGCCTCCTCCTGTTCTAACAGTCATTGAAAGAAGATCCACTACTGGACAGGGCTAGCTCAACTTTTTTTTTTTCTTACTGTGATCATAATGAGGCCGACAGGGATGACAGATGTTTGCTACTTAAACAATTGTGAAGTGGATCTGCATAGGTCCCATCCCAGACCCATCAGGTCTGACAGAACCATTACATCATTAATGCATGGATCTCATAGTCTAGACCTAGGTTTCAGGAGTCTGCTTATGCAGTAATAAAGGTCTGTCTTTTATGGGAAGTGAATACTGATGCATTGAGCATGCAGCGCACTCCAAAGAATTGGAGAAGCTGGGGCAATCGCCATGGCAGAGGTCGTGCTATGAATCGCATTGGTAGGGTGTCATACCCAGGAGCCATTGGAGCTGAAGTGTCTCGAGGAGTTTCCAACCGACCAAGAGGCAAGTACAGTTTCAGCCAATTATTGATATATTGGTGAGCGTAGATGTACAGCAATGGGTTATGTCATTAGCATTCTTGATGTCATGAAATGTCTGTTTAGTTTCAGTGCTTCGTATAAAATGTAGTGATTTCGTTTCTAGGTGAAAATAGCGAAGATATGTCTTGGCCTAGGCGTAGAGGTGGGAGAGGAGGAGACAGGCGACCCCCTGGGTTGCGAGGGAGAGATATTGGTGAGTAATCTCTTTTCATGCTTGTATATTGACGTGGTTCTCGAAGCCTCTTTCTAAGTCCTTGATATATAAACCTCTCAGTATAAGGTGCAATCAGAAAGTTCGTGCCGTTATACTGTAATTCCTAAAGTACTCGCATACCAAGTTTCGCAAAGCAACTTTTCAACGTCTCCTTCTGTCTCTACACACAGTTGCCACCGTTTTAACCAGTCTTTATAGCACTTGGCAAAGTCATCTTCGGGTGTGTTTGAATCGCTGGTAGACTTCAGAAACCAGGGCTTGTCTCGATGGATATTTCTTTCATCGCAACGAATCCTTGAGCTTGCCAAACAGCCAAAAGTCACTCGAAGCTAAATCTGGCAAATGGACGTGGTTTAGAGTTTAATTCCCCTTACAGCTAAGACAGGGGTTCTCAAACAGGGGGGCGCGAGAGCGTCCGGGGGCGGGGGGGCGGGGGGGGGGGGGGGCGGGGGGGCGGGGGGGGGGGGGGGNGGGGGGGGGGGGGGGGGGGGGGGGGGGGGGGGGGGGGGGGGCGAGACAGGTCATGGGAGTTTCTTTTTATCGCCTACATTTTGCAGTGTCAAAAACTATGGAATATTATTATTATTATTAATTATCAAATTTTTTTTTGCTTGAAAAAGGTCACATTCCTTCAGGTCTTTCTGGCTCTTTCTCCAGAAGTGCAAGACTAAATGAAAGCAATTCAAGGGGACAGACTTAAATTCGATTAATTTTTTCAAAGGGTGTACATTTCCGTCGGCGATTTCCTACGATTCGGATGAAGATGAAAAGTGAATCGTGCGTCCCTTCGGACTGTAACTTGAATGCTCGATGAATGTACGTCCGTGCACTTGTTCTGTTTAAATAAATACTTGAAGAAACTCTGTGACGCAATAGAGGTGGGTTCCCCGGGTAGAGCAAAATTTCCGAATACATTTCCGTCAGGTCTATGAAAATTAGATTTGCGCCGTTATTGGTACCGTCCAGTCCAGATTCGATCATTTTTGGGCCCAGAAGCATGTGAACTTCGTTCTTATTAAATTACGCGAAAGATGATCCATTTCCTAGCTGTGACCCGGTCCCTGAAACGTTGCAATTCGTTTCGTATTTTTCCGTTCCACGGTTCCTTGGGTTAAGTTTATTTTCTTGGTACTCCTCTCAGAGAGAAAGGGCGCGCGACACCGAACCAGGGTCACTAGGGGGGGAGGGGGGGTGCAGCGTAAAAAGTTTAAGAACCGCTGAGCCAAGAACTCCGTTTCCATGCGGGCAGCGTGCGGTGATGCGTTGTCATGGTTTAAGATACAATTCCCATTGGCCAGTTGCTTGCGCAACTTGTCCAATGCCGGTAGAAGCTCCGTTTCGAGAGGGGGTCGGTAATGCTGACCATTGTTGGTTTGACCCTTGGGGGCAACATGAGCCAAAATGAAGCCTTCTTTGTCCCAGAAAATGGCATGCAGAATATTTTCATTTTAAGCAACTTGTTGACATTTTCTGGCTGGTTGGGAATCTGTGTGCTTCTATTTTATTATTATTTGTTGTCTCTTGGTCTCGGGATTGAAATGAGGGTTCCATGTCTCATCCATACCACTTCGGCCTATAAAATTCGTTGGATACGCCGCATTTCGTATTATAACATGGCAGAAGTTTCGAGTCGGGTTTACTTTGTGCCCTCTGAAAGCATGCGGGGCATTCAGCAGACACTCACTTCGCTCATGTTCATCAGAAATAATAATTGCAACGTTTCCGTGGGAGAGGCCTAGTCCTCCTGCGATATTTTCAATGGGCAGGTATCGGCATCACCAGATCTTCCACACGTTGAATGATTTGATCGTAACTCGCAGTTCCGGGCCTTTCAGAACGAGGCTCGAATTTGACAGAAACTTTTCTAGCTGCGAATCCCCACACACACTTCTCTCAGTTAGCAATGAATGTCAACGGGTTCTTCTCCAAGTGCCGCAAGAAATTTCACTCCATCTCTTTGTTCCTCAATTATAAAAATTCATATTTTAATCTAGTCCAGAAAATACACTTAAAAAAAATCACCAAAATCGTCGTATCACCGTCGCAGCAACGAAACGACTGAGAGCGAAGGACAAAGGCCTAGAGACAACTACCGATTGGCCCTGATATTGTTACTCACTTGGCCGTTATAAGCTAGCGGCACGGACTTTCTGACTGCTCCTAGCGTCCCATTTTTTATTTTCCCAATTCCAGTTTCTCTCCATAGAAGTCTTATAGTACATTCAAAAGTTTTTTAGAGAGATGTCACCGAAGTATACAAGACTACCCATACATGAGGCAATAATCACATTAAGGATGATCCCAGTGTTCTCCCTACTGTCATCATATCTCAGCTTGGAAAAACGCAAAATTGCTGGCCATATGAAAGCATCCGGCTTCTGAACTGGCTTCTGAATCCTTCAAGACCTAAACAAAATGCTTAGTCGATTTTCACGATCGGAGTGGCTCTCTTGCAAGACATTCAGGAAGCATAACATTGTCAATCCCAAGCATTTCAGCGGGAATCATCCATCGTCATCCTTGGGTGCTTCTCATGCCTCAGGCTATGTTGCATTCGAACAATTGAATGAATCTGAGTGAATTTATGGAGGGAGCTATTGACGTGGTGGATAGATGGGTTGACATGGATCTGCAAATCCCGGTGAATCTGTAGACCAATTTGGCTGTAGAGAGTGGCCAATATGCCCTGGCTTCACAGCAATACTTAATTTAAATTTTGTGGTGATACTTTAACCAACACCTGGGTGTAAGAGAGAAAGTTTTGGCGTTATTCATTGCACAACAGGTGCAAATCTTCATCGGAATTACACTCTTAAATATTTATTCCATCACTAAAAATATATTATATCATTACCGTACCTGGGATTCTTTCACTCCACTGATCTACTCATTGGTACGCCTCTCCTTTCCCCTTTACATAGAGATCATTTGCTTGGAATATTCACCGTAAAAGAGTTCTGCCGAAATTCGACATGAAAAAGTCATGTAACGTAATACATATGTTGAATCAGGGATTTTTCTCTCAAAATAAACAAGGAGCCCTAATTGGTCATGCAGAGGATATCGAGTCCCCATCAGAATCATTCAACGCGGCGATCACAGGGTCTTGAATTTTGGAAATGGATTTTGAGAGAGATTCTTCTAGTTCTTTGCAGTGGTTGACACAATGCTCCCAGAGATTGGGAGACATGTCCCCACAGACTTCTCTTATTAGCTGAAGGACGCTGCGAGAACTCTGGGATTCAATGTTACACTTCCTCGGATCTCCTTTGAGCTTTGCCCACACCAATTCTATGGGATTGAGGACACAGTGATATGGCGGTAAACGAAGCACGCAGATAGCTGGAGGACGCTGCGAGAACTCTGGGGTTCAATGTTACGCTTCCTCAGATCTCCTTTGAGCTTTGCCCACACCAATTCTATGGGATTGAGGACACAATGATATGGCGGGAAACGAAGCACGCAGAAACGTCTATTGATGCCTGCTGCTTGAACCGCTGTATCCACTGCATATTCCTTCTTAAGTCCCCTGTGCAACATGACCCGTCGTGGAATCTGCGTGAAATAAAAAAAGCCACATTGTGTTTTTCCAGCTGGTTAGCATGCCTGAGAAAAGTTGATTTTCATTGGGCCATACGTCAAGAAGCATTGCCTTTGTTGGCTTGATTCCAGCCACCTTCATCCACTGATCCTCAGGCACGATGACGTCATGCTCTCCAATGAATTTCATGATGTCACTTCTGCTTGATGATTTGGTAGGTATCCCATCTATCCTCCTGAATGACACCAACAACCATGGTTTCATAGTCGCACAGAACTAACGCAAGAATTTCAGACCCGAAGACGTAGTATTTTGTCTTACCGAGAATAGTATGGGGCATTATCCATCACTACAACACAATCTCCCTCGGGCAGATTTTCTAGAAGCATCTTCTTCACCCAAATCTCAAACAGGGAGGAATTCATGTCCGAGTGGTAATCAGCTCCTGACTCTGCAATATTCATCGATGACAAAAGTAGTGTTGGGGAGCCATCCAGCTGCCGACCCGGCATGGAGAATGATAATTCTCTTCCCACGACTTGGGGGATGGCTGAAGAGGCATTCCCTTGACCCGTCGCTCCAGCCTTTCCTCACAAGATCATGAGTATCGTACCTGAAAATTTGTTTAATAGAAAATTGCTTCACACTACATCTTCATATGAATTGCGTTAGTTATTCATTGATGAGCCACAAATTCGTTGAAACATGAAGGCACATTACCAGGTTTCGTCCAAATAGATTGCAGTGTATCCGTCTTCTCGTAGGTGTGCTATGTTCCTCAAGAAGTGTCCCCTGTTGCATGAAGAAAACAACAGCAGCTTTTGAAGAGATACTTCGATAAACAATGGGAAACTGCCAGTAGTCTATTCTGATACTCTGTGTCTTCTCGTAGGTGTGCTATGTTCCTCAAGAAGTGTCCCCTGTTGCATGAAGAAAACAACAGCAGCTTTTGAAGAGAGACTTCGATAAACAATGGGAAACTGCCAGTAGTCTATTCTGATACTCTGTACCCAATGATACTCCTTGATATGTGGTATCATTGGCGAAATATAAACTAATTGGTTTGCGAGTGAAATAGGTCTGCATTTGAAAAGTAGAATATCTACCCAGCATTATTTCTGCATATTGGTTCAAGAACACTGACCTGGCAGCTTGAACATGAGGTTTCAGCATCACCATCTCTTTCCGATCAAACTTTTTAAACTTGAAACCCAATTCCTGGCATAAAATATGTTGGAGAGATGTTCTTCCATATGGGAAATGAACATTTTCCCCATCCTTGTCCTCCTTCTTCTTGAGTTGAGCCATGCAAGTATGGAATCAAGAGTCGGGTATACGGTCTCTGCGTACATCGCATATACTTCTCGACGTATGACATCAATGTCGAAGGAATCCATAGCCGAAAACCGGATCCTCTTCGATCCCCTCTTCTCCATCACCTTCGCTTGTTTCCTCTTCCGAACATTAGAAACTGACGCCGGGCTGGCCATCAAAATCCGCGCTGTGTCGTGAATTGTCCTCCCCTCTTTTTGCATATTCAGGATGGCCTCCTGTTCTTGACGGGTCAAAGATTTTCCCCTACTCCGACGTGTTGACATGATGTCGAAGGGAGTAAAGTGGGCTCAACCATAGGGCCATTGTTACCCCTAGTATGGGAAGTAATACGTACTACAGTGACATCTCTCTAAAAAACTTTTGGATGTACTATACTTTAACTCCACCCACACAGGCACACCAAAGATAATCTGCTGTTAAATCAGGATCAGAACTGTCTGATTTTCAACTTTTAATTGATCAACAGGATGGGAAGAAATCCAACCCTTTTCAATTCGTTTAATTTTACAGTCTTGTTTTTATTATTTTTTGTTATCCATAACTTCTTCGTTGAAAGAATCTTCACTGAGAGCTTGTGGAAGTAAACGATAAATCAAGGTGGATATGTTATCTTTCTAGGTCTCTGGTATGCAAGAAAATCGAAAGAAGAAAGGAAACAGAGTGAATATGAACAGGTAAGTTCTCAATTCTCTCAGGTAATGAGGTAGGCTGATGAATCTTACATTTTTCATACTACTGATCCCTTCTGATTCCCTTTGAAGAAGAATCAGTGTATGACTGTGTTATCATAGAAAAATTGTACATACACAATATTTTCTTAGGATGAATGGTCTCCTCACATATTTTTGTAAAGCATACTGTGCATATTTGAAGGAAAGCAGCAATTTTTTAAATTTCTCTTTTTTAGATAAGGAATGCAAAAGCCCATTTTAAAGGGATTTTACGTATTGAGAAATCACCTTTTTTTTTTTATTCTGAGAGGACAAGGAACTACCTCATGACAGTAATGGTTTCAAACAAAAATTTTAATTCAAAGTCTAATTTCATTCATGGTCCAGGCATATCTTTCCAAATCATAATATCCAGAGAGAACATAAGAAATTTCCTTTGAAGCATCTTAACAAAGCTGTCCAAACATTGCATAAGGAAAAACCGATATAATTTTTTTAATGGAGTGACTCACGATTATGCTTCTGATGCCATTCACTCTGTTGTAGTAATAGTGGAAATACTGGAAATGATGGTTCATCATTCTAAAGTTACTCTTGTGAGGTGGAAAACTCAACATTGACAATAGCCTCAGACCTGTTTCACTTGGTCATACCTGGTTCTTTTCATGCAAAGGACACTATGAAATACTACAGGGTGTATGAAAAGATACTACATATTTTATAAGTTGTGGTAACTTTTGTAATTTTTGAGCTAGAACAATGGTTTTTGTGTCCTTTAGTTGTTTTCAGTTTCCTCATCTCCAGAGATGAGGAAACTGAAGGGAAAACAACCCTATGGGTTTGATTTATTCTTGATATGAGGAGGATAAGTCTTTGGCATAATTTTCGTAGAGAAGATAACTGACACATTGTGACATGTGGAAATCAACTGATGAAAGAACACCCTATGTGTTATCAACAGGAAATTGAAGCTTAATTAAACTTAATGAACAAATTTGCAATTTTGCTGAGATTTATCCCAAGATTTGAAATGGCTATGTCCTGATTTGAGTTATTGTCATCTGGTTGTATTTGCACTGGCCTGTTGTCTGAAAAATTGTTAATGTGATAATGACACTTGAATTGACTTTCTGGAATGGTAAAAGATATGGTGTACACTGCATCAGCCATAGGTTTTCTTTTTGCAAATTGATTTTAAGATGGAACTGTCATTTGAGGAACATAATGTCAATGGGAGAAACTATGCCATAAGTCCCAAATCACTCTCCCCCCATGTCCTTGAGTACTTAGATACTGTAGCTTTGTGCTCAATTCCAAAATGTCATCTCTTTTTTGCTTTTTCCAGTGTATTTTGCCTGAATAAGTTGCATTTGAGTAATGTTTTGCTATAGATGCATACTGTGTCATTGGGCAAGCATAAGGAGTATGAAATCAGACAACTGCTGGACAACATCAGAACACAGGAGTTCTTAGCATCTGAAGACTTCAGAAAGCCGTCTCGAGCTCCAGGACCTGGAAAGTTGTCTGGAAGTCCAGGGCATGGCTCAATTAAGCTATCTTCTAGCAAGATAGCAATGGAAAGAAGACCCTTATCTCCATCTTCAGAGCAAGTGGTTGGTTCTTCATATGGTGGGCATGTGAAAGATGTGGCTCCACAGTCCACAAGCCTAAAGTCAGAAATAATGGAGGACTCATGGTGGGGTAGTGAAGAAGAGAATGAAAGAGGTGGGATTGTGAAAGGAGAGGCAGAACAGTTGCCAAATAGCAGTTTAGAAGATGTAGATGCAAAGCAGGACCCTTGCTGTGCCACCAAAGAAGGCATTGTGAAAAGTGAAGAACAGGACAACAGTGAAGAATTAGTTCCAGATGATATCCTCCCATTTTTCATAGACAATACTCCTATGTTTGAAGAACAGGAGTTGATGTTTGATGATGTGGTTGAGTCCAAGCCTGGTGTTCATGAGAAATTTTCTGAGAAACTTCGTCACATAGGGGATAGTGATTTCAAATCTCAGTATCTTCACAACCTCAAAGCCAATGCTCTTTCTGACTACCTCAGGACATGTGCCACTGCTCGATGTGACTTAGTGGCCAATTCATGTTTAGATAATCAGTTTAAAGAAGAACTTGAGGCCAAGCAATCCAATGGTAGATATCTTGAGCTTCATAAATTTCGCCAAAAACTACCTTCTTATAAGATGAGACATAAGATTCTTGAGTTGGTCAGTGAGTCCCAGGTGGTTGTGCTAAGTGGAGAAACAGGTGAGCCTTCCTGTTGATTACCCAGTTATTATATCCTTTACTTTACCCTATGCATTCTCTGACTGATGTGGTGAAACATGTAGGCTGTGGGAAGACAACTCAAGTGGCCCAGTTCATTCTTGATGATTGGATTTTGCAAGGCAAGGGATCTGTATGCCATATCATCTGTACTCAGCCTCGCAGAATTAGTGCCATCTCAGTTGCAGAACGAGTGGCTCAAGAGAGGGCTGAAAAGTGTGGTCACTCAGTTGGATATCAGATTCGATTAGACGAGTGAGTTGCATCAATACCATTGTGAATTCATTCATCACTAGTTATTTCCTTGAAATTTGCAATATTCAATTGAGAAGACTAGTGTGCTGGTATTCTGAATCCCAGGCAATGCTTGGCTTGAATGGCTCTTGATTGTGTAGTGTACGTCCACGGACAGTGGGGAGCATCCTCTACTGCACAACTGGTATCTTGTTGAAGTTCCTCCAGTCAGACCCTTTGCTCAAGAAAGCATCTCATGTGGTACTGGATGAGATTCATGAAAGGGATATCCTCTCAGACTTCACCATGGCTATCATGAAGGATGTCCTCACTCATGTATGCTCTTTCCAGCTTTTCTCTTAATGCTTTTCCATGATTAATTCCATGATTGGTTATGAAACCCACAGAGACCAGATCTGAAGCTGGTGCTAATGAGTGCAACAATGAATGCAGGACTGTTCACCAAGTACTATAATAACTGTCCCTTGATACACATCCCAGGTTTCACCTTCCCTGTTGAAGAACTTTACTTGGAGGATGTGCTCCAGTTGACTGGGTAATATATGTGAAGCATGATGACTTGTTCTGTCTTGAGAAACTGGTTAGTGTGTTGTTATACAGGTTCAGGTTCTTCTTTCAAAGGTTCAAAATGGAGTCCAAGAGCAAAAACTATGGCTCCCATTACATCCCCAGGAAGAAGCAAAAGCAGTTGCAACAATATCAAGATAGTATTGGGCCATTCATCAGGTAACACCCCTCAAAATTCAGAAAGTCTAGATGGCAAGTTCAGTAGGTTCAAAATTTATTTTGTAATCAGAGTTTCTATCTGGTACCAGTAACAGAATTAAGGATTTTCCCTGTGGGTTTCAGTTGGTTAATGCATTCACACCTGGTGAGTGATTTTGTCATAATTTTTTTTACGTGCATGTGCATCATCAGCAGCGAACATGTTAGTTATTCTTAACATTTGATTATTTATTTGGTATTGGTTTCTAATTATATTAACCTTTTCAGTCATAAATTATTTTCTGTTTTTCCAGGTTCTTTTTTCATGAAGACACTCATAATCTCACTTAATATGTTATTCAGTCTCTAATAAAGATTCTTACATCATGTTATCAGCTGTAATTTGATGGTGATAAAGGCTGCACCACATCCCAAGGTGCTCATGCAAAGAAGGAACAGCAAAGGGAGAAACCAATGCACTGGGATCAATAACTGGGTGATGAAAGTTCTCTTCCATTTTCTTCTCCTTTTTTCTGCTATACACTATTTTTTAGACCTATTATCCACAAGAAACAGTTTTTTTCTTTTCCAGGGAATATTGTTTGTGGCTGAGAATACATAGTCCCAAATTGCAGCACATCCTTTCCTACAATCCAGTGATTGACCCAGTGATATATAAATTTCAAGTGATATGATCCATTTTATTTGTAAAGAAAGGTTAAATACAGATACATGACATGTTTTTAGGCACATTGACTACTCAGGATAGAGTTCCCAGAATGAAAATTGTGGCCATCAGTCTGGAGCCTATTTTTACTGAATCTCAATGATGTTCCTCAAGCTAGTTCAAAATAACTCCAAATTATGTTCCATGAATGTGTGTCATTCACAGATATCCTGAGAGACTTTTTTTTAACTCAAAGGGTACATGTTAAAAGTTTTTCATATTGATATTATTATGATATTGATATTAGAGCCATGATTTTTATGCCTTTATGCTTGCCTGAATGATTTTACTTTGAATTAATATGGCATATGTTATTAATTTTCATGATTATTCCATTTGGTGCTAGTGTGAAACTCAAGCCTTTCCAGTTGCAGTTTTCAAGGAAGTGGTCTTCTTCCAATTAAGAATTATAGTAGTATTTTTGTGTGATTTATTCCTCTTAGGGACCTAAGGGCCTCAGGAAAATATAAGTCACATGTGCTGAAGAGCATTGCAGACCCATCTTCAGAGGGAGATGAAAATCTGGAACTCATAGCTTCACTGGTAGAACACATATGTCAACACGAACCTCCTGGTGCTGTCTTGATCTTCTTGCCTGGGTGGGACCGTATCTCCAAGCTTCATAAAATCCTCTCTTCCAATAGCTTCTTTCGTGAATATCACTCAACCTGTTCATTCCCTTAACTGATGCCAAGACATAATAATAAATGCTCCTATTCCCTCTTGTCTTTGCTGGTCAGGAAGGAAGCATCTCATCATTCCCTTGCATTCCATGATGCCAACAGTGAACCAAAGAGAAGTCTTCAACAGACCTCCCCCTGGTGAGATTTTAGTAACCTTCTGGTGCCACACTGCCTCAGGAGCTCGCAGGTAGCTATCTAAGTTCAAACTATGATTTATCTTCTCTTAGGGGTGAGGAAGATTGTGATTGCAACCAATATTGCTGAGACAAGCATTACAATAGACGATGTTGTGTATGTGATTGACGGTGGAAAAATCAAGATGAGGAATTTTGACGAGGGAAGTAACTTGCAGACACTTTTGCCCGAATGGGTGAGCCTTGCCAATGCGAAGCAACGCAAGGGCCGTGCTGGGAGGTTAGTCTTTTTTATGCTGCATTTAATTTGTCATTTCCTTTGTTTTCATTTACATTTTCTTTGTAAGAGTCCAGCCAGGGATATGCTACCATCTGTACACTCGATGGCGGGAATCTCTCCTGGATGCTTTCCCCACTCCAGAAATCCAGCGCACTCGCCTTGAAGAACTTTGTCTTCAGATCAAGATTCTGAAGTTGGGAAAGATAGAGCCATTCCTTGAGAAAGTCATTGAGCCACCATCCAAATCTGCTCTCCATCTCTCAATCCAAGTTAGATTCTCTCCCTCTCTCTCTCTCTGGAAGTGGCTTTATTTTGAAGATATAGGAAGCACCATTTTGTGGATTAGCATATGCATAAAAATAAGCATGCAGGGAAATGCAGGGACCTGATCACTCTCAGATTTGAGCATTTGTGCCAATTGATTCTGCAGAGCAGCTTCTCTACAGCCCTTGTAAGAGTATGTTCTAATCTTATTCATTAGCTGGGTTAGTGTTAATGGGCTGCAAGTGAATTATACAGGTGAATGCATGGAAAAATGATAAATCCTTCATCCAATTAAATGACTTCCTTTATGTACACAAGCTTATTGAAATGGAGTCTTGTAGTATATTGTTTTTCAATTTTAAAGAGTTGTCTGAATTCATGCAGATTCTGCATCGCCTGAATGCTCTGGATTGGGAGGAGAACCTCACCCCCCTTGGTTTCCATTTGGCCAAACTCCCAATGGATCCTCAGACAGGGAAGATGATCCTCATGGGTGCAATATTTTCCTGCCTTGATCCCATCCTCACTGTAGCTGCTGCTCTCAGCTTCAAGGATCCATTCGTCATTCCTCTGGTGGGTCTCATCATTTCCACATAATATGTGAAATTTCAAAGATCACTTTTGCTTTCACTTGTCTCTTCAGGGTCAAGAAGAGGTTGCAGACCGTCGGAGACAAGAGCTGGCTGGAGGAGAAGAATCAGATCATCTTATGCTGGCAAATGTTTTTAACAAGTGGGAAGAAGTCAGGCAGGCTGGCCGAAGTGCTGAAGATCGTTTTCTCTGGCATTACTTCCTTTCTCGTAACACCCTTGAGATGTTACGGTATGCAACCACTTTGTCTATTGTTTAATTGGTAAAGCTGGATTGAGTTATTCAGAAATTATTGCCTTCCCAATTAGCACCATGAAGAGGCAGCTAACAGAGCATTTGATGGAACTGGGCTTTGTTACTTCAAGTGCCTACAACAGTCTGGAAGTGAATCAGAACTCCAAGAATCCTTCTTTGCTGAAGGCCATTATCTGTGCTGGACTGTATCCAAATGTGGCCAAGATTTTGTATGTTATGCATGACCACAGCTTCCTCAATACTAAATCACCAAATGACTTGAAATTAACTTGTTAGATGGTTCATTTTCCATTCCATGGTGATTAGCAAAAATATCCTTTTGTGCCCATTGTATAATACCCCCATAACATTCCATAAAAGAAGGACCACTCAGATTCTGTATCTGAACCTCATTTTTCACTTTTATTCCATTTTCATACTTCCATTATGAGACCAATATCAGCTGAAATGCTTACAAAAGTGTAAAATGTTGGCTAAACAGAGCAAAAAATTGATTTAATAGTGTGTAAAAAGCACTTGGAGTACCAGAATAGTAAATAAAATAAATATACATAAGGTGTAACATGTTTTACGCAGACATATTCTGACTTGAAGGTCCCTGGGTAGTAATTAAGCAGTGAATTTCTAGCCAGCTGCTTGCAAGAAAGTTCAAAAACCAAATGGCTCTCTAAGAGATGCCATTATGGAAACTACACATAAAATGAATGAAGGAATTACATTTGCCATAAAATGGAGTAGCTTTTGGTGCACTTTTAAGTTTCAAATGTTCATCACAACCTTAAAATTTGGTTGGTTATTATGCTTTTTCATTTTATATATTAATGAATCAATGTTACTGATGGATTGAGGATACAAATATAATAATTTCATAAGTGTTCAGAAGTTGTCAGTCCTGTCAAAGATTTCTTTGGCCATCTTGAGTTTTCTTTAATTTGCTTTACTTTAAGTTCTTTATGTTTAAGTTCTTCTAGTACCTTTAATTCTTTTGCTGTGTAATTTAATAGACATGGGCTAGGGAGTACTATTTGCTATGTGAGAAAAGTCTACCACTGCAGCAAAAGAGTCAAGTATCAATTTATTTTAAAATAATATTTAGTATTATTTAACTAACAGAAAGCAGTTCCTTCAACCTTCAAGCAGTTCAGTCTATATTATGTGCTCACAAGATAGATGTACCTTTAATCCTAAAAGAATAAAATATAATTAACCCTTCCCAGTCCATTCAATTTTCCATGGGCAATTTACCAGGTCCATTTCTATGTTTTGGGTGTTGTACTAAGATTCTCTCCAGTGGTTTTAAACCAGGGCTTCAGAGTGAAATTTTTTTTCATTATGTGTTCCATGCCATTGTGTTCCAGGAAATATAAGTTCTGTTCAGTTCCACTATTCCACAGGGAAATTAAGCACAAACAAAATTTGATAATTTTTTATTCCTGTGGTACACTAGAATTTTTTTTCCTTCAAAAATCATGATTGTGAAGAAGAAAATGGGCAGGATACTTGGAAAAGAACAGAACTAAAACTATTCCCTTTTCAGGAATCAACAAATTCATTCTGTTCCATTCTGGTTTTCAATTCTGTTCTGAAACCCTCATTTAAACATGGCTAATATCAGATCAAAGTTTTACTCTTAGTATTCTAGAAGCCCTCATGGACAATAGTTTTCTTGATTGGGATATTTTTAAAAGCACTCAGTGGGATGCAGCCTGGGTTTTTTGCACATGTAAAGGTATTTACACAACCTTGTAAAAGTTATTGGAAAATTATGAGTAAAAACTTCAGAGAAAATGCTTTTGCATTTATTGTAAAATTGTAAAACAAACATATTTTGTTTTAAACTTTTGCAGTTAACACCCAGTTTACAGTTAAACTAATTCACAGTTATTTGAGTAAAGTAATTATAAAAAATAGTTTCATTTACCCATTGTTGTATTTGCACAGCTTTATGAAAGTAACCACAACTTTACAGAGATAAAGGTCTTCCCCAACAGATGAAACACAAGTCTTCTATGTCCCATTCAATAAGACAAAGGATACTTGTGTCCTGGTCTTCTGCCTCACCTGGCCCACCAGGTGGGACATAGGACCAAAAAAGGTTAAATCAATACCAAAAAAGGTTAAATCAATACCAGTAGATGACACTTGCACCATTCCTATTTCTTCCATTTCCAAAGCAAGTAAGCTTTTTGTCTTGTAATGCAGGTCAATTTATACTTAGGTAAAGAATATATGAAAACTTATTATAATTACATATATATATATAATTATCTGCATATTTTTTACTTTTATTTAAATATCATCTAGATGTTCAAGTACGTCTAGATGATATTTTAAAAGACCATGATGGATTACATGCTCATGAAGAACTATGTTCTAATTAGTAAATTAGTAAATTACTAAAACCTCGCTAGCCTGGACTAATTTGGGGGGAGGGGGATCCGGATTAGCCAAAAGTATGGACAATCCAAAATATATAGAAAAAAAGAAGTCCGGACTAGTGGGGTCCGGATTAGTGAGGTTCCACTGTATCTAAATATCCACTGATTCACCACTGTAACTAACCACTGATTCATACTTAACCTTCCTTGCCCATATAAGGACTAGACAATTAACTTACTAAACTGGAACAAAGTAGTTTCTGTCATTCATTGTATCTTCCAACTGCATATGAGGGTGAAGAGTGACAGAGCACCAATAATGGAGGGAATAAACTGACATCACTGTAGGCCTAAGTATCTCCACAACAGATCTCCAAAGCATGAGTAGCATCTACCACTGCCTTATATTTCAACTATGACTGCTAAACATATTTTCAATAATATTGCACTTTAATGTGACTCATCTTTATATAACAAAACAACTTTGAGGCCTCAAAGTGAAATACTTTTTATGCTACAGAAGTAAATTGGACAGCATTTTTTAATGGCATTTTTTGCATTCTAAAATTCATTCTTGAGGCTTACTTATACATCTTATGCGTATCACCTTTTGCTTTTCTCCCTGACATTTTCTGGCCTCAAGTGCTTTCTAACAGTTAGCTAAAGGGAACAGGGAAGGCTAGGATTTCCATCACATCTTTTCTGCTGGGGGTGGTGGATGCATTTCAATGCAAGTTGGGGGTGGCTTCAGTCCCCCCCTCCCTCACTATAATGAGCTATACTGAGTCCATAACTGAGCAGATTTCTTTCTCTGACTTTTGCATATGGATTGTCAGCTTCTTTTGTCTGAATATTGTAGATGCTTGTCTTTGTAAATTTATATTCCCTCTCGGTGTTTGTCTTTCATATATTAAGCCCTTTTTTTAAAGCTGTTTTTGGTGAACCACTTGGGTTTTGAATTTTTTAATATGCTTTTGTGGAAAAAATGTATCTTTCTACTATGTCCCAGAGATCTTCAAGCCAGAACCTGTAATGTAATGCCATGACATACTTTTTTCAACCTGCTACTTTTATGCTTCCATGCTTCAAGTGCTGTTTGTCCTGTATGAAATCAATTCCCTGCTTTGATATGCTTCCGTTTCATACTCTTGTGAGTATCTCAGCTGGAATCTGTCTAATTAATGAATTAGTGAAATGGAAAGAACTGAAAAATGAGAAAGCATAGAGGTGAGGAATCCCTGCATTCTTTCTATAAGTCATTATTCAAGTATTCAAGTTATATCCCATGAGGGCTGTGAAAAATGTTTGGCCAATTTTCATGGGATAGATCAAGGACTGTCAGCATCTACAATGCCTGGTTGGTCTCAGTTCTTTTTGGAGTACCTATATCTGTACTCAACCTTGCCCAAAGGAACATATACATTTGTTCAATGCATACACATGATGTCCATTAAATGAGGTTGAATCTCTCCATATAACATTGATTCTTACCTCTATTGTCAATGAGAGCTGGTATCACCATGGATTGTGATTCAGAGCTATATGCAAACTTGCTGGATTACACCCCCCAAAGAAAAGAAAAATTTTCTTTATAGGCAGTGATAACTATTTCAACTTTCAACTGAGTTTTTTTTGCAGACTTTATACAAAGAGTCCCACTCCTGATGGTTGTTCTGCATGATAGGCCTTCTGAATGCTTCATAAAACTATGCCATTCAGGCAGAACTTCATTGTTTTAATGCCTGATGAGCAAATGACATTTCTTTTCTCTTAGCGTGAAGAAGAACCGGGTGACCTTATACACCCCAGAGGATGGGCAAAAGGTTCAGTTTCATCTGAAATCAGTTCTTGTGGATCGTCGAGACTTCTCCAGCCAGTGGCTGGTATACAAGTTGAAGCAGAAGAGTTCAGCAGTATTTCTCTTTGATGCTACAGTCGTTTCTCCCTTTTCTCTTCTCTTCTTTGGGGAACGCATTGGAATCGAAAAGCACAGTCGTGGAGATGGCCTCATCTCGGCCGATCCCTTTGTGCATTTCAAATGCTCTCAGTCTGATGCCATCTTGGTTAAGGTTCATATCTCTCATCTTGCTTCCAATCTGATTAGTTGCCTTGTTTATTTGATACTAACCTTCTGTTGTATGCAGCAATTGAGAGGAGAGCTGGACAAGTTGCTTGAGTACAAGATTTCCCATCCTGGTGTGACCCAGTGGGACCCTGAGACCAAAGAAGGGGCCATTCTTCGGTCTGTCCTTTTGCTTTCAATGCAGTTGTAATGTATCTAATACCTGCATCAATAATCTTTTCCTTGTTATTGGAGCAGGGCAATTGTGGAGTTGATCACAACCAACATGAAAATGCCAGCCGGGAGTCTGTCTCGATCATCATCTCAAGATTTCTCTGATGACCTCTCCTCATGATTTCTGTGATCTTTCTTTTATAGGTATCAAGATCTCCCTCATTTCAAGGCATATTAATTTATTTATCAAGTTCTTGAATTGGACCAGGGAGTACTGAGTGAAATTTGTTTGCATTTACTAATGTGGTGCACAAGGAAAAAAAGAATAAATTGAATGCTGACCTGTAACACATTGTGAGATACCTGATATTGTACATTGAGGTCTCCTGGAGCTATATGTATTCAGGGCCACCCAGAGGGGGAGGGGGAGCAAAGGGGGCAATCTGCCCTAGGCCCTGCGTATCAAGGGGTCCCAAGGGGGGCCTCCAAAGAGCCTAGAGGGGGCCATCTGTCAATTGCTGATCCATGTATCCCCCATATTCGACGCCTCGGAGTCGTGAAAAACGCTATGATACTTTCTTCATGCTTCATACAAGAGGAAACTGTTCATGAATTGATATCTGACACCAGTATTTTCCGCCTTGTTACATGGGCGAAACAAGATAGGTGGAACAAAATGAATCCATTATGGTCTTCGTTGAGAGCTCGCGGACGCTACACGACTGCACTAGTCGAGGAAGATAGAGGTGTTACGTGGGAGACGCTAAAAGCAGAAGCCATCAACTGGATTTTTGCATTCATTGCCAAAGACGTCGATAGACATCTTCACGCCTCCCTTCGACTTAATTGTCGATAACTCGAATAGATAGTGCTCAAATGCAGAGAAACTATCCTAACAAGCCTAGCCAAGACGACTATTTAGCTCTAAAGGATAAGATCGTCTCGTCTTTTTTCATTTGCTGCTGCTGCCTTTTTTTGTGATGGGCATTAAAATGCTTGAATTATGTGCTTACCAAAACGCTATTGAGACTCAACTTTCAAATTTCCTAACCAAAATCCTGCGTACACTACTGTCTCCACTGCTACTCTCGTCGGCGTCGTCTTTCTAACAGAATTAGTAGTAGCAGAAGCTGTACTTTACGTATCATGCTAAGTGAATAAAAAAGAAAGTTGTCAACTTTACGTAGCTAGAGACGAAACACCACGCGAGGTATTGGCAAGAAATTACAGCGTGTCGCTTCCGGCATGTGCAGATGGTTTCTCCAAAGTAGAGCTTTCCAGCGAGGGATGTGCGAAAAGTGGGACGCGTGTTTTTGCTGAAAAGAAAACATTTGACAAAATGTTGTCCATATACAGTATTTGTATTTTTCATCATTTCATTCTGTACGGAACCAGCAGCGAGAAAATTTCGCAGCCGAAATATCCCCCCTGAGGCACTACGAGGGTTAGAGGGTAAGAGAATCTCAGTAAGAGCCACATCAAATGAGCGTGTGTAAGCATATAAACCTTGACTACTTCCTCCGCGCGCAGATTCGTCCTAGCCCAGTCCAGCTGAGCAAGCAGGTGCAGACAATCGTTCCTTTCGTATCGCTCGGGAAAACAGGCTTCTGAGTAGCCAATTTTTTTTCTCATTATTATTCTCATTATTATAAATTTTTATTCTACCCCATACCTCGACCTGTTGAGGACGAAGCACCTGAAAATGTGTTATTGTATTTACTAGGTCTAGCTGCCTCATTGTATTGCTAAAAATATCCTTTTGTCGTCGCTTTATTTGTCTTCAATAAATCAAATCAAATCGAGTCAAATAGCCATGAATTTTATTGCAGCCAAATCCCATTCGGTGATGCAACCGAATTCCTGACATTTTTAACTCTAGACATGAAATGGCCCTATAGTTCTAAATCGATATGTTAAAATGAAAACTGTCTATTTTTACAACCGTGCAGAAAAGGGTGATGGAAAAAAATAAGGTACGATAAACTTAGCGATGCGTTTTGTTGACTGGGTTTTCAACAGACGAGAAGCCGGCAGCGACGAAAGAATGAACGCGCATGCGTGCTTCGGAAGAGGCAATTTCAACTCGCAAGAATTTTCGCTTTCCCTAGCACATGAAATTGGTAAGTTTCTACGCGTGCCTTCCATGAAAAATTAGCGACCTGAGTCCCTAGTCCCCAGAATCAAACATTGTTCCACTTTGATTGGGCATTTGGAGTTCAAGGACTGACGTATTCAGCGAAAAATAAGAATCGATCAATTTTGACAGCGCATGCGCCCTGATGTGTATGAATGGGAAGGGCATTCCATGGGGTATTCTCGAGAAGCCTGGGGATGGGGATGGGGATGCCATGCAAGTACCAAGGGATACGAAGCTCTGAACCCACGACGGCGTTCCAGAGATTCCAGAGCTTGGAGGGTGGCTCATAATTCTAGAGCTGGTGTTGATCTTGACCGCATTGTTACACTTCCTGCAGTAGTTGGAGTCGTCCACATTAAGTATCCTCACATTTAGATATTTCAAATCCACTATTCATGTATTTACTTCAATAATGCGGGAATAGGGAACAGCAAGATCCATAACTGTGAATGCGTTTGAAAATGAGGCATGTTTCAAAACAATAAATATGCTTGATGTTCTTTGAAGTAGAAGTATAAAGTTGGACTGCTGCACACCTGCCCTTTTCACGAATTAGGATGTTGATGTTCCTTGGATGGCTTGGATTCCAGAACAAAAACACAAGAACAGAAATTTTGGATTTGAACTGCATTAGCAGTAGATTACTGTACTTAAAGTAATGCACTGGCCATTGCATTATCCCCACATTCGGAGGAAGTGTGTAACAATAGTGTAACAATAGTTCGGAGTGTAACCATTATATTAACTTATCTGATCTGGACAACGACACGGCCCGTTAAAAAGGGCTTGGAACTTACTAAGAATCTCGCTGCGTAGGCCTATCGTGTACTCATGCTGCCCAAGCCTTCAAGTCACCCTTCCATGCCACGCAGGTAGCCAAGTTCACCTATGGAGCTGCGAAAATTGCTAGGTTGCGCGCTAGCATCGATAATGTTCGACTGGACGTTCGGGGGCAATTATTATAGGTTTCAGAGCCGTTGGGGTCAGAAGACCCTTGACTGATTGCGTTCCATTGCATGGGCCACATATTATGAACTGTATGAGCTAACAACCAGCTGGCGCTGGCCACTACCTATACGATACGATGCGATACTACCAGGCACAAAGGCTCAAGGCCCATGGAAGCGCCTCCACTCTGGAATCCCGGTCAACCTCCCCTCTCAGTCCCCAGCCCCCATCTATTAATAAATATCTAGTCTCCAGGACTAGATTGCTACTACGGAGAAGTACGCCATCCGTGTTCGGCAATCATCACTAGTGTTCTCTTGCCCTTTCAGTACCTACTTTCATGCCATTTTTCTCAGTTATTATTTTTCATACACTTCCATAGCATCGCCAAATATGCAAATCAACATTTTATTTCCATATTTTTCATGAACATATATATTTTAATTAGACAAGGAATTGGTTTCCATTTTTACATTTTGCGATCCTCTACATCCGAAAAGTACGTCCTGAATAAATTTAATTAAAATAGTAATAAAATAATCAAATATTGTTTTAAATCCCCATGCCCATTTCGGGATCCTAAAACGAACACTGGCACAAAAACCACACGCCATTTTTCGTCCACTGGCTGAGTGTTCCAGCTTGGTATAGGGACCCTCATAAAATCCCTTATAGACCAAATGGAGATGGTTAATCGCATGCCTCACCGCATCATGGATTCTCATGTATTTGTAACGACCGAGAATCCCAGTGTTAACGCCGTCACAGACGACTCCTAAATTTTACAGACTCAACGGCATGTAGTGGCGTGCCCAGAGCCAGAACCGAGAGGCACGGAAGGAGAACAATTCCAGACGTGCAACGCATCCCTCGGAATGAACTGGGAAGCCACAATACTGCAGCTAGAAAGACCACTTGGATCCGAGACTGCAGCGTGGGACACATTCGAGCTGGATCTTCGCAATTTTTTTTTTTGTTGTTCTCCCGGGCTTCACTCTCTCATCACTTTTTTTTTAAATATTAATACAATTTCCTGACTGTTGTTTCTCACCTTTTTTATATGATTAATTTTGGGCTTTTTTTTTGCTGTCAGGGCACTGGACACCATAATTCCACTCAGAAGGATATAACAAAAAATTACCATTACCACCCTCCCTTTCCCACGTAGGCTACCTTCCGTTTGCTGTCGATGACGCTACGAAGACGCCTAGAAGGTACCTTCTAGTCTTCATTGTACGTGTTCGTGAAGGTACGTGTGCGTTTTACGGCGAAGAAGAGGGATCTTAGTGTCTTCTGTAACGATTGCAGAAGTCACTCTATTTCCCTTTCCTTCCTGGGACTCCGGAATTAATTTCTCTGTGACCGGCGCTTTCGTCGCGGCCAAAATGGTCGTGGACAGTTCGCTGCAGTCAAAACATCGCAAGCCCGTTTCTTCGTTTACCCAATACTTAGTAGACACAGGTCGTCGCACTTGCACGCCGAGGCACTTGCTTCCAGACAAGGATAATAGCAAAGCGAAGCAATGTGCAGGAGTGCCGAAGTTACAGGGGGCTATCACTTAGGAAGGGAAGGTAAAGAATCTGTCTTTTTTTATACCTTTTCTGAGCCTCATCATTAATGTGCAAATTTGAGTTTTCGTGTGTATGACACTGGAATGCGTCAGTGACTACAGGAATAGAAAACTGCACTAGGAAGGGTAGCTTTTCACTATAGAGAGATAAAGTGACAAAGGAATAGCATAACGGTGTGAGCTGCACAGCTGTAAGGGTAAGATGGTGTGACATCCAGAAAAGAGTGGCTTCTATACAAATTTCTGACTTCGATACAAATTCATGAGCTGCCATTGACGACATGTATATCTTAGAACTTTCATCGATAGAGTCTGCTAGTGCCTTGCTTGAGTTGAGACGTCATCATATGATACCATCCCATCCCGTTCAAGGCCTTCGTGACGAGGAAAGTGAGATGATCGGTGTGCGCGACGAAACTGTACTTCGACCTAATTTGTATTCGATTTCATGTCTGCAATGAACTGTCCGCGACCATTTTGGCCGCGACAAAAGCGCCGGGAACCCATTTTTCATAAGTGATCGCTCCCTCAGCCATAAGCTGCACGAAGCTCCGAAATCACACGTTTACAGGATTTTATTTTTAGAACCGTAAGAAAAAGTAGCATTCGAAGCATGAATGTTCAAACGTTCCAAAGTGCAAAGATAGCCCGCCTCATATCAGTGAGGATCTTCCATGTTAACGTATTCAATCGAGCATGACCCGGAATGGCAAATCCTCGCGGGAAAACGGAATTAACCTGCACGCAGGAAACAAATTAGGAAAATTTAGGCAAGAAAGCCGTGGTGAAACCACTGATGCGAATGCGAGAATCCATGGCTCCAAACTTCGAACTGAACTCGACAGCAGGGTCAGCATTAGGCATTCGCCACATGTGCCCCAGCACAGGGCGCAAATTCACAAGGGGCGCCAAATTGTGACTGAAGCAAAAGTGGAAACACCCGTCGTCTTTTCGGACGTTAGGGATTGACGCTTCTCCTTGTTCCCATATCCCTTCCCCTGTGTTCCCTGGAGAGTTGTCGGACTCGACAGAAACACGAGGCTGAGTTTCTCTTATTAGCGTTTCATACAAGTCAAAACAGAGAGCCCTCGCAACAATTTTGGTTCTTCCTTTTGGAGTGGCGCATGACTGATTTATGAGTGTGGACATCGTGTCATCGTTTGCCCGACCATCGGCTTTCTGCTTTGTGCCTGATCCCATATTTTCAACTCTGGTTTTTCAATTATGGTGCGAGGGGAATAACCGAGGAAAGAGTTCCTTCCAACGAGCCTAGGCCAACCAAAACATGCACCACTCGGCTTGACACACTCCTCCTTTGGTCACAGCTACGCTGACACGCAGCTGATGCAGAGGCCTGCACGGTCTTTTTTCCCTTGGTGCCTGATATATAAATATCTAGGACAGGGAATCTCAAACTGGTTAGATTCACGACCGCTTCTCGTGGAGGCCAGCAGCCTGCGACCCCCAATTTTTGCACTGTTTTCGGATTGAATTCGTATTCTTTCCCTATGGTGGAGAACGAAGAAAACACAGCTTCCAGTCCTCCGCTTCATCAGGTGATAGACGTAACCAGCCACGTGGAAGATGTCACTACTTGCAACCGATGGAAGCACTCGTATAGAGGGGCACGAATTCAATCCGAAAGTATGTAGGTTCCACGAAATTGAGAAACAATAAGTACATGATCTACACGGTATTAAAAATACCGCCTGTAATGTGCTTTTTCCTTTTTCCAGCTTTTTTTCCCAGGAACCTCTGGGATCCTTTGAAAATTGTTTATTTATACAGTAGTGATACAGACTAAAGAACGGTCTTTTCTCTCCTTGGGTATAAAAAACAAATAGAAAAAATGAGAAGGAAAATTTTTCCAAGGAAGCCACAGAAATAAGATTTCCAATGTAATGTAATTTCACTAAATTTCCGACTGAATTTTTCTTTAGGGCAGAAAATATGAAGGGGACCAGGTCTATACGTAATCATTTTCCTAATGGATCTTGCAGAGTAGGGTCAATAATTCAATATTATAGTATCCTCTCAACCGCCTAAAGATCTGTTGAGAAACCGACTCCTTCAAGGTTAGAAAATTCATGACAGCATTCGTTTCAGTTTTAATATCCCTTCAGCATACCCCTTGGTAGCACATTGAAAAAATTTTCATAGAAGCTTTCTATCATCGACAAATGAATCGGACATTTTTCATTCATCATCAAAGACATCTGTCTTTCTTTGAAAAAAAAAAATATGAACGGTGTATTACAACTGGAAGTACCTTAGGCTGAAAACTTTCTGAACGTCCCTCGTAAAAACGAAAGAAGGAAAACAATGTAACCATAAATTTGCTTTTAGTCTAGAAAGGCATGAAATAAAGAACCATTAACGTAACAGGGCAAACTATTGCACAGAAACCTTCGGGATTCCTCAAACTAGCTTGCTTGAACATTGAAGTCGAGAATCCTATTTCAGCGCTATGTCTGGCCTTAAAATTTCCCCGATTTTTATCTACATGAACGCGCACCAAAACGATTAAGCGCTCGGCAGGAAGAGGCACATTCATATTAGACCTATTAGACTTGTAAATCTGCGATCTGTTTAATTAGTGTCACGCTGAGGCTCTCTATAGCTCCACTGTAACCTGATTTTGAATTAGTTCTTATTGACCTACTTACTGAGCTATTTCTCCACTACTTTCTTCTGATCAATGGCACAAAAAATATCTGACAAATGTGTCATGGTGTATCGTCTGGTTTGGCGAAAGCAGTGAAAGAAAATAGATTTGCTGCGCCTTTATGATTCTCGTGTGACCTTTTCGACCCCCTGTAACCCCTCACGATCTCCTTGGGGGTTACGACCCACAGTTTGAGAATTTCCAATCGAGGACAACTTTTTGCTAAGTCTTACGTTTCAGAAATACAAGGTTCCTACACCCAGTACCACGAAAACGAGCTGGATTGATTCGAGCACGTCTGATTCAATTCATCAGCCATAGGTTGCCTTCAGTTTAAAGACCATCTCTGCTTTGATCCCTCCAAGTACTTCCCCATTCCAATGCCTTCACCATCGGCGCAGTCATTGTCTGCAACACAGTGGCGTGGGTTGGGGGTTTAAATTCCCCCCCCCCCCCTTTGGGATACATTTTACAGGTTCAATTCTAAAAAATAAAAAAATGGGGGGGGGGGGGGGCATATATGCAGGGTGGATTACCAATTTTTCATGTGTCAACCCCCCCACCCCATTGGGGATTTCTGACCACGCTACTGCTGCAACATGTCTTTCCAATGTCTGCATTCCCTTGAGAATTCTTCTCACTATCTCAGCAGCTGTGGTTTCAGTTGAGCGAAGCATTTCGAAGTTGAAGTTCATCCAAATATACCATAGGGGAAGCATGACCCAAGAACACCTTGTAGGACTTACATCCATAGGAAATTAAATTACGCGGAGTTTACGAAATTTTTGTTTGCCGAGCAGACAGCTCACAAAATCACTTTTAAGTGATGCGTGATTATGAGTCCATTTAATTGTGTCTCTTGTGCAAAGTTAACAAGAACTTCTTTTTATCTGTCGCGTTTTCTTCTTTGAGAGACTGTAAATGCTGATCGGGCCCCAATGAGAACCACATTGAATTGCGAGCAAAAGTTACTAGTCGATATTTAAGATATGCCACAGTACCCCATTCTGATCCAAATGTGTGTGTGTGAAAAGGCCGGCAGCCACTTTGCACCGGGCGCCAAAATAGCTGGGGCTGGCCTGCTCGACAGGACATGGAACGGAGCTGAACCGCCCCCGGGACAGGACTCTACTGCGCTCGAAGTAACTCTGCTGGACTGGCAAGGCAAACGGGAGGGACGGAAAGTAAACGCGGTAAAAAGAGGGCGGACGGACGGCCGTGACGAAAGCATGGGGGGAGACAGGCCCTTGACTAGTTGCCTCTCGGTTCCTTTGTCGCTATGGTCAAGGTCAGGCTCGAGGAGTACCTCACATTTAAGCCAATTTGTCATGTCGCTAGGAGTGACAGGGCCCTGATGTTTGTGTCTCGGAATTTATGCCTCATAGTCCTGTAGGGGGACATAGAGAAGCTGAGTGAGGGACCTTGGTTCCCCCAGTTACGCCACTGCTCTCGGCTAATGTATGTCAATCAAATTTGAATGATTAGCAATGTTTCAATCAGGACTGACTCAGATGAGAACTCTGGCTCTGAACGCAATTCCAGGAAACTGACCACTTCCATTAAGTAGGGTGTGTCCTGAACGGAATAGGGCCAAATAAAAATCACTGCTCAAGAAGCAAACAGGCAGGAAAAAAAAAGAAAGAGGAAGTTGCTCTAATATTTGCATTACATGAGCCCGCGGAAAGCAATTGCAAACATGGCTGCTCGCTTTCGTTGCCTTGTAGTCTTGATCCCACATTGTGGTAGCCAGAGCCTCTTTCAATAGGCCCCTTTGGTTTGCCTTGTTCTGGAGTCAACTGATCTAACGTTACGGTACTGTTTGCAGGCCTGCAGCGAATTTCAATCAGCTTCATACATTTTTAATATTCACTATGCATCTCATGTTGGCTCCTGAAATAAGCAGGTTTTAGTTAGCGTTGATTTGGGCTTAACCTTTTCCGGTCCTATTTCCTGAACATTTTATCCCCAGTCAGGTCTGATTAAAATACCCCCGCTCTGGGCGTTCTCACAATACACCATAGGTATATATACCATACAGGACTTTATTAGCATAACTTACTGTCGGAGGAGGCCCGACATAGAACCTACCCAAGAAAAGTTGAATTTCGGGGCTCCCCCCGATAGTGGACCGAAAGAGGCTATTGATTTCGATTTGATCGGGACAAGGGGATAGGATCGGTACCCTGGAGTTTAACTTAATCGATGGTATCATGACTTTCATAAGCACAGGCTCACCCAGAGTCTGATATATAATTGAAGCATATGTAGACATGAGGTAGGAAAGGAAAACAAACTGGCGCCATAAAGAAATAATGCAGAAATCTAGACAAAGAATGGGATTTATCAATTGTGGCCCAGGCCTTTGTAAGTTGCTGGTACTCCTTTGTTATGGGTGATATCAGGTGTGTTTCAAGTGCTCTCAACAACAAAACAGAACAGAACCAGAGACTTCCTATATTCCTAAATACTTATCAAAGGTAGCATTCGCACAGGAAAGTTTTGAGACTGTGTCTCACAGCCTTTGTGCATTTTTAATTGTAGACCTTTTTATCTTTGAATTAGCTCTAAATTCACATTCAGGAGTTAGAGGAGTAGGCCTCGTCTAATATTAGGTTTTACCAAGTTAACATTGGCCTAATTTGTAATATGCCTGTAATTGTGATTTTAGTTCCAGTATGAAAATTTAACGACGCATGACAATGACTTGACTCCATCCTGAGCAAATCAGAACCTTCAGCAGCCAAAGTAAGATTCCCTATCAATTCTCCAATGCTTAGATCCCCTACAGTCAATTCCCAAATAGTCATTCTCCCTGAAAAGTTCCCCTACCAATATGTTTTCAGGTTTTACATTAAGTGAAAGCTTAGTGTAGAAGTATTTATGTGAGGGTTATTAAATTTGTTTATTTGGTCCCCTAAATTCAGTCCTTCACAAGGTGGACAATGGGCACCTATCATGAGCCTTATAAGAATAAGATTTCCATGTAGAAACCTAATATGGTACATCTGAAGAAATTCTGCTTCCTCATCTCAGGAGATAGGCCTATTAGATATTCAAGTAGGAGAGAACCTAACATTTAAACTGATTTGATGCAAAAGATATGCTTTTCAGAGAAATTCACTTCATAAAGTAGGCAAGAAATTGAAATTGTGGGTTATCGTACAGAACCCTGCCAGAATAATTTGAGCACCCATACTAAAGCAATACATTTAACCAGGGAATTAAAATGAAAAAAGCTGATAAAATGTGCCTAGATGTGTGTGTGTGAGAGAGGGACTTTGTAATGCTTATGCATGTAGGCACATTCTGCAGTCTTTTTTCTCATCATAACTACCATATTGAATGCACTTCTTTAAATAGAATGCTCATATTATTCTGGTTGGGCTCTGTATATTTCAGGTTATTATTGATCAGACCTTACAAAGTAAAAGCTGTAGATGTTCGATTCCACGAGTCACAAGATGGTGCATTAACCAGTATAAATAAAGTGGAAAGCACAGCTACTGTTTTTACAGTTGAATTGCAATATATCTGTCATTTCATTGAGAATTTTACCATTGGAGGGATAACCATAGAGGAATTTTCCATGCAGGAAATAATCCATCTAGGAATCCTAACTGTTTTGACATTTGGCACTGGTCTTACTACTCAGGAATACACCATATACTCAGAGCAGTGACTTTGACTTTGTACATGCACTGCAGCCATGCAGTTCACTACTATCAGCCTAGGCTATTAAATCAATCAGTTCCATCCTCATAACACTTAAGGCCTCTGCAGGGTGATGAGACAGTCTTAATTTCTTATCTTGTAATTTCTTATCTTGTCATTTATCACTGTCCCTTGTAGAAGTTGGCTTTGTCTTCATTATTATATTGCCTCTGTCTCCCCAGTCCTTTCTAATGAGATTCAAATAGATATAATCACTTGTGGTGAAGGGTGCTTGTCCATTTTAATGTTTTTCATGTCCTACCTTGCACAAGGGCCTCTAAAGACAGACATGTACTGGAGCATACATGAAAGAGACTAGGCCTGTGCCCAACTAGGATTTTATTAATGCTACTAGGTGACTGTAAGATATTTTGTGACAGTGTAGCAGACCTTGGTGGAAAGGTTCAAATAGAGGACTCTATTTCATATTTGAACAGCAAGTCACCAGAAGTACAGGGTGGTCCACAATTGTCTCCCCAAAGTAAAAGCTTATTACTCAGGAAGTATACATCCAATTTCAATGATATGTGACTCAAATGATAGTCAATTCAATATATTTTTACTGTGGAAAATTTCAGCATTCCTTAAGAAACTGGAACAAAGTTACACCATAACAAATGAAAGTACTTATATCATCCAACTAAAGTTTGTAAATATCACAATCCCTTCTGAATTTTGCAATTCCATCTTGATTTTTGCAATTCATTTGTGGGTTTTTCATGCATAGCGAGGGATTGTCTGTGTCATGGGTGAACTTGGTATTGTGCAGAAGCTGAATACTGCCATTAGGTCTGATAATTTGAAGAGAGCAAATTTGTGTGGAGAAAATTTGGAAATTTCTTCAGTTTGGTTCCAAATGCCTCAGTTCCTGATGAAGGCAATTCATTAAAGGTTTCTGAACCTGAAGAGATTCATCAGCAGACCTATGACAACCTTGGTTTGCCGAAACAGGTTATTAGAGATGCCTTTGCCACAGTAGGACCAGAGATGATTGAATTCCCATTCAAAGAAAGACTACACCAAGTCATTGACAATTGTGCAAGTCATATTGAACAATAGTGATTTTGCAGGTTTCATCTGTAAGAATGTAACTTTCCTCTAGTTTCTTTTATGGAATGCTGAAATTTTCCACAATAAAAATGTATTGAATTGGCTATCATTTGAGTCATATACCTTTGAAATCATATGTATACTTACTGATTAATAAGCTTTTTCTTTTGGGGAGACTATTGTGGACCACCCTGTATATCACCAATTTGAAATCATTTAGCCAATTTGGTTTGACTACAGTATTTCAGTGTTAAGTAAAGTTATTTTAGCATTGTTCATTCATCTATGACTTGTGTTCAGGCTTCTATAAGCTGTACCATACTCTGTTTCTTTTTTCATTTCTTTTTTTTTAATAGTAAGATTGAAGATTATGGATGAAGAATGGTAACATGCATGGTGACATGGTAGAATGGTAACATGAAGTATGTAATTGTAAAAGTAGTGATTGAACTAATAGGTTTTTATCACCAAACATTTGGCAGCAAACAGGAGCAAATATCTATCTTTTCCCAGGCATACCAGTACAGATGAAATGCCTTTGAGGAAGGATCAGGTAGAACAGCTAGCATGGGGCTGGGTGGAGGGTACTATCCCTGAAGAAATTCAGAATGAACATGTCTTGATGGCCTACTGTATGACCATTCCAAGGTGTTCTTCAGGATCCTGCAAGTGAGCATTTTTCCTTGCAGTACATGCACAAATTTAGGTCTGTTCAATCTTCATAAATATATGACTTAGATTACAGATTTTCCTTTGCATTGATTTTGCAGGAGGAACTGCAAGTGGAGTCCATTCTGTCTAAATGGAGTTGGAGCAGAAAAATGGATGAAAGGATTGCCAAAAACTGAAGCTCCCAACCTAGAGGAGACTGCTGTTGCCAGGAATCCAGAGCTCTTTGTTGGCCTTAAGAATCTTGGTGCAACTTGTTATGTGAATAGTTTGCTTCAACTCTGGTTCCACACCCCTGAATTCAGGCAAGATCAACTTGACACATTCACTGCCAAAATCGACTACGGTCGATTTACAAAACTCCTGCTAAGAATGCCATCATTGACTAAGGTCAATTTGAAAGGTCATGCATATATAACCCCACGAAGCACCCAAGAAAGGTGATGTTGCTGGCATCCTGGGTTCTTCTCAGACACTATTCGACAATAATAACAGAAATTGGTATTTTTTCACCCTTCCAGTTACCCACAATCCCACACCTTGTTTACCAGCCCCTGCAGACAACCCACAAGTTACAGCCATGTTCTTGAAATGCATGAGGGATGCACTTTAAGTGCTACAGATTAATATACAGCTACAGAAGAATATTGATTTTGTGTCAAAATTTTGTACAGATTCCTCATCTGATCAGGGTGAGGATGTTGATGGTGATGCAGGTACATCCCACCCACAGAAAAGGAAAAAAAAGGCCTACAAGGCACTCCTGAGTGCACATGCAGCACAAGAAGAGTAAAACCTGATTTTTTTTTCACATTCTGTATGGAATGTTATTGCATCCTTTTTTTTACTTTTACTTTTTTTAAAATGACTTTTACATTCTGTATCATGCCCTTAAAGTCTACCAAGTAATATTGAACATTTCAGATTTTTAGCTCTTATGAATTTGTTATTGTAATTCTATTTCTAAAGCATTGCACGTATTTTCGCAGACCTGGAAAAATGCTGGCAATCTAGTGACAATCTCACTTTAAAGGTCCAGCAGTGAATGTGTTAAATATGAAATTAATGCTTCCATTAACAGGTCCCTTGCACAAAGCCTGGGTGATTTTACTCCTTTCTTTCACCCTTAGGCATGCAATATTTTCATGGAATCCAGCAGAAGATGCAACAGAAGACTCTAATTTGTGCCTTCCTGAAGTGAACATCCAACCCAGATCTGTGATTGGGAACCTTCTTCAACTTTTTGCCTTCCTTCAATTTAGCAATTCAAGGTAGGTAGGCTTCATATATCAGAGCTTTACTCTACTTTTTACAGATGTTGAGATGCTCATGAGGACTTTCTTTTTTGCATTCCAGCTTTGTAGATCCAACTGAATTCATTCAAACTCTTGCTTTGGACAAAGATATTCAGCAAGATGCAGAGGAGTTTTCTCAGCTCTTCCTCCATTTTCTTCAAGGTCAACTATCCTCCCAAACCAATGAAAGTGTTTCAGGACTTGTTCCCACCCTTTATGAAGGAGAGTATTCATATGTTACTCGGTATGATTTTTAAATAGAGGCTTTATTTTGCATTTTTGAAGCATTGTTTAGGCAATACAATCATCCTAAAAACTATGTTGCAGATGTTTAGGCTGTCAGACAGAGACTGAACGGCCAGATACATTCCTAGAACTGACGCTCAATGTCAAAGGTGAAACACACCTTGAGGGAAGCCTTAATGCCTTCTTGAGGGAAGAATTCCTGGAAGGAGAGAATCAATATATGTGCAATGTGTGCCAGAAAAAACAGGATTCCGTCCGACGTATCAGAATCACACGCTTCCCACCCATTCTCAATGTTCACCTTCTTCGATTTGTCTTCAACAGGTCAGAAAGACATCAAGAATTTAGACTTTTTTGCATTTCTCCCCCAATTGAATTCTTGGACATTGTTTCTCTCTCCAGGCAAAAAGGTCAAAGAACAAAGGTCACTTCCTTGCTTTCCTTCCCAGTCTCCCTTGACCTGTCCAAGTACTGTGAACAGCCACGGGGAAGCCTTGTGTATCAGCTGTTTTCCATTCTCATTCATGCAGGGTCTTCTGCTCACTCTGGCCATTATATTGGTGGGCCCACAGGTCTACAGTCATTCATGTAGGCCATTATGCCAGGCAATGTATGTGTTTATTTCTGTTTTTAGCTTATATTCAGGACCTGACAAGTGGGAACTGGTTCCGCTTCAATGATGAAGTTGTGTGTGAAATGAATAAGAGGAATCCCCTGGCAAATGTTGACTCAGATTCTGCCAGACCAAAGCCCAAAGAAAGTAATTATACTTTTAATTGAGAACACAGTTGCAAAGAATAGGTGGTAAGGAAGTCATAAATTATTTTTTTTCCATATCTTGCATTCCAGAAGGAGAGAAGGGACCATCCTCAAGCAATGCCTACATGCTTGTCTACAGACGCCAAGTCCCTGAACTTACTGGCAAGGAAAAATATGGCACAGAGTTGACCCTGGAAGGGCTTCCTCCATGGCTTCGTAAGATGGTGGACAAGCATAATTTCTCTGTCCAGAAAGCCTTAGCAGATTTGGAATCCATGAAGGCATGTGAAGATCCTCATTCCTCAGAATTTCTAAATGAAGTATGTAAATAGAAGTCTTATGTTGCTTTATGCATGGTTACAGCTTGAGAAGATTAATGCAGAAAAGGCCAAGACTCATGAGATCCTGGATCTATGGAATATTCTACCACTGCCGGAGGATGCGAAGCAATTTGATTTCATTTCAGTGAAATGGTTGACAGCATGGCTGGAGCATGGAGAAAAAATGCAAAAGACAGATGGATCTTTTCCTCCAGTTGATCATTCTGGACTACTCTGCCCCCATAAATTACTTGATCCCTCCAAAATAAGTCAAGTCAAAGTCATCAGTCGAGCTGCTGTGAGACCCTTCACCTAACATTATGTATAAAGATTATGTTATGACAAATTCCTTTCTAGTCATTTTTTTTCTTCCTGCTGCAGGGAGATGTAATATTCAGTTTGTTTGGGGGAGGACCACGCATCACAGAGGGTTTCCTGTGCCGTTCATGTGTGACCAGAATTTGTGGACAGAGGAGGCTTCGCCAGAAGCTCTCCCAACAGGAGAAGCAACTCAGGCTCCTTTTCAAGAAGAAGGTGGAAGGGTTGGTTCATTCTATCCTCTTTTGTTACATTTTTACCCATTACATCATTCCCATGTATCATATTGGTTTTGACTATTTCATGGATGACAGGAATGACCCTAAGGCTCACTGGGTCGGCAAGAAGTCTCTTCGGATTTGGAGGAATCTTGTGATGGATCAAGTGTTGGGGAGCACACAACCTGACAGTCTTGAAGCTGGGAATGATGAGAATGGCAGCATCAATGATGATGATGACCTCACTGCCTTCAATGATGAGGATGCAACTGATGTGAATATGGACGGTTTTCAGTTCAATGATGATCTTCTCTGTTGTCACCGTATGTGTACCATCTACCATATCACTTCCCATTTTTTTCCATTCTCTTGTTCAAAGATCTAGGTCTAGATCCAACACTCTTGCTCAGTAGATGTAGATCTTTTGCAGTATTGCTGTGTATTTTTTGTAGAAGCCCTGATTCCTGACCCATCAGTTCGACGCCTTATTCCTGAAGATGCATGGGAGATACTTAGGGATCATTTTCCACAAGCACCAGACTTTCTTCAAGATTCTCCTATCTGCTCAGACTGCCAGGTGCAATTAAGCCCAAAGTGCATGAAAGTAGCCATTAAGAAAATGAATGAAAATGAAGCAAGTATTCAGAGACATTTGGAATCTCATTTTTTGTAGGCTGTTGCAATTGATGGAGAATTTGCAAGAGAGGAGAATCGCACATTGGCCATTAAGCAGAAGTCTTTGTTGGGTCAATTGTACCTGCGTCGAGATCGACCTGTTCCAGGTGTACAGCCCTCTGTCTATCTCATCAATGCAAACTTCCTTGATGCCTGGACTGCATTCATAAGGTCTGACTATCTCCAGATTAATTTAGAGTGCCATAGGGATAAGCATAAACTTTTTGAGAACCTTACCTTTGATTCACATTTTAGGATCCCACATATGGACCCACTGACGATTACATACTGCTATTCTGTCTATTGGGGATGAAGGGTGCAGGTTTCATGGTATGAACTAGGGATCTCCATTTCGGAGTAATTCATTTATCTTAGCCGATGGACACTTACTGACAAACTTCGATTAGCCGAAGTTTTAAGAAAAGCTTCCAATTAAGGATTTTATTTTTCAAGATGAGTAGATGAAGAAGGAAGGGAAAACCTTCCCATTTTCTGTATGTCATAGACCTGGGGATGTATCATATCGGTTAATAGAAACCGTCATTTAGTAACCAGTTAGTAAAGATTGGTCGATTAACCGGTTACACAGATAACCGTTGAGACCCCTATTAGAAACCCCCTGGAATCTTTTTATTAGTATAGAATGTTGGTCCCAGTATCATTGAGGGTAATGCCTTAAGCCTGTGATACCTGCAACTGACTGTACCCTCTGTTGAGCTTCTGCCCGAAGTATAGTGGACATCAATTATGGCGTCGGAAGGAAGAGAAACAGACAAATGTAGGGTGACCAAAAAGTCATGGCCCGTTTGTTTTGCTGAATAATCACGTTTTTGAAAAGCTACAAATCATCAGGTATCGTGCATGGAAGGGAAGTTTGCATGAAGGTTAAACTGAAGCTTAACTTGGAAGGAGAGAGAAAAAAACGAATGAGGTTGACTTGGCTGATTGAGGGATGAAACTTGTTTCACCTATCTGATATATATCTGCCGTCCAGCTTCCTCACTATCTTTTGATTAAAGTACCGGTATCTTATGTCTTTGAGATAAGCTAAATGAGCTTCTTATTTTCCTAATGATTACAATTGTGATGTGGAGGTACATGGAATAAGGAATGACATCACGAAAGAGAAGCGTGGGCTGACGACTCTCAAGCAATTTTTCTTTTCTCAAAAAAAAATTTTAATAAACAGTAAATAAAAAAAAAGCAATATAATACTTTTTTCCATTCTGAAAACCTGTAAGTTCCCTCAGTGAATTGACTAAGTCCGTGGATGCCGCAGAAGCTACAAGGGAACTGTTCTCATTCCGTGTCACTGAAGAAGGGTTTGCTAGGGAGGAAGGGAATGGATTGGAAGGCAGAGGAGACAGGAGAAGATGTTGGTGGCACCTCGGGGTGATGGATCAGCTGGCCCTGATTTGTCCTTTTCCTTCATTCCTCCCTTCCCTTCTGATGACCACCCTCTCTCTCCCCCTCACTATGCTCAGGAACGGAAGAGTAATGGAAGGATTTGAGAAAGAAAAAAGGAGAAAGGCATCACGGGGGGACAGTATGTGTCTCTTTAGACTCAGTGGGTCTTAATCGCCTTCGGACTAGAGAGATAAATGATCATCATCGTCCCTGATAATAATAAAAATTGTCCTTTTTCAGTCGAATTTCAATCGCTTTACTTTGGACGATGCAGGGATCCTCGAAGGAAGAATGCAGTGGTGGAGATAAACAATGCCTCGATGGTGTGTCCCCATGATATGCTTCCGTTCAATCCCCTTCTTCATGACCCTGATCACTCCTGGTTCGTATGAAGTATCTATTCTCCTCTAAGCCTAAACCCTTTTTTTTTCGAGTAGCGTTGCAGTATAGAGCATGCATGCCTGTAATGTGGTTTGGTACGAGAATGAAAAAACCTATTCCTACTTGAACTCAGGAGGAGAATCCCCCGTAAACAGCATTTCGATTCGGCAGGGCCCTATCCTGATTAGTAATAGTCACATGGTCCTTTATGTCGCCTTCGGGAATAGGTGAAAAACAGAGGCCTCGGACTGTAATAAAGGTAAATATGATGGATGAGTGAGGATTTGGAGGAAGGAGAAAGCCTCCAGGCGACCCTGCCAATCATCAGCCCTATTCTCTAAGACGAGAAAAACCAGATGACTGGCCATCATCTTCCTATGTCCTCTCAGTCATGAGATGGGGGGCGGGAACTAGAAGCTAGACCTTAATCTGGATCGTGGATGAACAGGAGTCGGATTTCACTTCAATTAGTCCCAGGGTGAATGAGAGAAAAAAAGTTGAGAGGAATGGTGCGCGTCACGGTGGAGCACTGTCGGCGATGCAGAAAAAAATTAGACTTCCCGGATCGATGCCGGTGACCTTTGATACCTGAGAAGAATCCTTCGACCTTGAATTGTTAGCCTTTGGAAGAACGTAGTCTTTCGTGAAGGGAAAGAGCTTCTGGAGGGATGGCCGAGTGCCAAACACCATTCCGTTTATCGTAGAGAGATTCCTTTTACAGGGGGGGAGGTGTGTGTTGTTGTTGCCATATCGATTCTCCTCCCACTTCCCCCCCCCCCCTTTTTTTTTCGGGAATGGGTTTTTTGACCTCGAATGCGGAGTTCGGGGTCGGGCGATGAACTCGTGGGCGAGACAAAAAAATGGTCCCCCTCCCCCGTCTGAGAGGAGTTTTTTGTCTGCTCTAGCCCTGGGCTCGGCTATGGCCCGTGCCCATTCATCCTCGGTCATATATCTCTCATATGTAGAGGCCTTCTCTTATGTTGCTGTGCATCGATTCTCGTTTTCATTGTCTCGCCCTTCTCCGAGCCTCGATTATTTTTTTTTCCTTCCTCTACCCCTTGGATCTCTATCCTTAATGGAATTCTTCACGAAATATTCGTGGCGTTTTTTCCTTCGGGGGGGGGGGGGGGGAAGAGAATTATTTCCCCGATTTCCTTCTTTTTGCTTTTTTGTCACTGACTGCGATCATTAAGCCAATTGACTAAGTATATAGAATTTAAAAAATGCAAATTACTCATCAACTCTACAAGGGCTGGTTCAAAAAATTTTGTCAGCATAAAGCATCAGTGCAAGTCAGGGACTTGCTCGAGTTCGTTGCATGTTGCATGTTTAACTTGCCGTTCTTAAACAAAATAAATATTTAAAAAAAAAATCCATAAACAAGACCCCCTGAATTTGGTAAACGCGGAAAAAGCCACTACGAAAACAGCTACCCGGCTTTATATGAACAAAAAAAAGTTCACGCTTTTTGGACCTGCTTTGCGAACGTCCTGGCGTAGTCTCCATCTATTTTTTCCATTTTCTTCAAATGTTAAAAGTATTGAAACAATCCATATCTGAAATTTTGAATTAAAACATTTGCAACATGTGTGATGTGGGTTTTTCTTTCCCCCGTACGCATTTGATTTCCAAATGCCAAAACGCTTTCTTGAAAACTTGCCTTCCAATGGTGAAAAATAGTCTAATTCTGTTCCGAACCGGGGAAAGGTGGAAAAAAAAGTCAGTGAGGCTCTGCTGAGAACAGGTTAACAGATACAGATAGAATGCTGCGGTTGATGCCGTATATTGTTGCTGACGCGGCAGAACAGGCTTACACGGATTTTAAAAAGATAGTTCAGTTGGAGTTCGGTTCTAATTACAGTTCAGATTTTGATTTGACTATAGTTCCACTGTTCTCATATCGGCTACTCTTACGACAAAAGATCAACTGTAACTTCTACTGGTTTTGAAATCACCCTTAGAGCTTTGAATCCCACCAATCGTATGACTCCATTCGAACACGTGATTCTCGTAAGCCACTCCCCTATTATAACTTGAGGCTCTTCCATAACCTTTGTGAGCTTCATCAATTGACGTACAAAATTAAATTGAATTTGGTGAAGTATACTACATATGGAAACCTTGTGCGGAAGCGCAAGAAATACGCAGAAATAGAAAGGCCCTTGACCTGTCTTGTGCTGCATTTTCTTTTTCTTTTACCCTGGATACCAGGAACTAACGTAACTATGTTTCATGGATTTTTTTTTGCCATTCCCTTCCATATTCAAAGTTTTTTGCAACGAATCGGAAAATGTTTGGCTTTTCTCTTTGTCGCTTAAGTGTTTAGCCACAAGAATCAGTCCCTCGCGGGTAACATTAAAACAAGTCAACACCACGGAAGTTGAATCCAATGCCCCGCAAAAGGCAAATAGTTCTGTGGATTGTGATATTCTCACAAGCATAGCCTAGCATGGTGAGCAACGCTCATTTTGAGAGCTCAAACTTGCTTGAATGCCTTAAAGTGTTTGCTCTGGTCTCCGCTGATTCTAGAGCCCATTTGACTGGTCACGCGCCGCTGATCGAGATCAGCAAAATGCTTGCTTGCACTCTGCTTTGATAATATTTAACTACTCGTGATCACCTTGCACGTGGTTTGCTTACTCACTGAGGACTAGGTGTTATCAAGATGGTTTTTGGGAACAGCACTCGATTGGTAGTGGATTTTGGGGGAATTGAAGGCCTGAACTCGTCTTTCTTAACCGGAAAATATGTAATTTTGTTCATTTAATCACGGCAACGTAATTATCCAACAAAAGTTAGAAATCAGAGACCTTTTATTTTCCTACAGGCTTCATTAGTGTGTGAGCTATTTATTTTCTGATTGCCTTCATACAAACGTATCAGAATTATATTGACTATTTTTTGCATTTAGGTCGCGCACGTTAGGCTTAATCTCAATCGCAAATCTCAGAAATACATTCGATAGAGCCCCGAAGATGTGTCTCACGTGTTTCTTCGAACTCTTGATCACCATGAAAAATGGAATGAAGTCCGGGATCGGGAAGGCCCTATGGAGTAATGGATGGATGAACGTGGAGGCCCATCGTTAGCCGGCCAGTCAGCCGATTATGAAAAATCGCTTTCTTAATCGTCCTCCAGGATAATTAGTGACGTCACCGGGCAAGTCTTCTGATGGCCATTAGGGAAACGCCGCTGTAGATTTTTTTTATTACAGACGCTGCTTTGCTGTTTTAACCAAAAAAGAACACATCAATGGACACAGACTTCTTGTGCTGTTTTCCCCTCAACCTCAAGAAGTCCAACAGTTTCTTGAAAGTATTTTGTGGATGGAGGCGTTTTGGCAGGTTTCCCGATGTGAAATGCCTGATGGATACTGGGGGTGGCAGTGAAGAGGCGATTAGGAGTGTATTTTGAAGAGGAAATGAGAAGGTAAATGTCACGTCACGCTGAGGGTTGCCAAATGGAGGAGAAGGTCGACGACCTAGATTCACCTTCCCCCTATGAAGATCATTTGGAACCCCCCCCTTCCCTTTCCCCCAACGTGGTCACGAGGGGGAACCTTCAAGGTCTAGGCCTAGGCCACCTCTATAATACATTCAACATTTACACGGTAGTCCACCGAATTAGGGAGGCCTCGTTCTTGAATCTTAACGAGCGCATGGATGTTCATGAAATTTTACTGTCGCACACTCTTGTCCATTTTCCTTGTTTTTATTTTTTTCAAGTAATGGTTGAAATTTGCGACAGGGATCCGGAGATACGAATATTAAAATGTATAATTTCATAAAATTGGTTTGCACGTTTAGGAACTCCGGTCGAAGGAAAATTAGGTCACTTGAATACTATCCGATCATCGCCGTTTTTTTTCCGCGCAATATTTCATGTGATCAGCTGCTGAATGATGCAAATCGAAATCTAACCTTAAATCAAGACGTTCAAAACTTATTTACAAAAATCATGGAGATCTTCACGAGCTACATTGAGTTGGCACGCTGCCAGTCGCACATGACAAACTTTTTCAAGGAAGGGCTTCATCAACAAACGTCAGCATATTTCCTGACTACATTTTCAGTTGCTAAGATCTCAGCATTATTTTGAATGTCAACCAGCTTTTGCAAAAATTAGCACAATGGACAGGATTTTGTGACATTACTTTTCTTGAGGAGTCATGTCCTCGTTTAGAAGATTCAGGAATGTTAAAAGTGGTATTTAAAAAAATCCAGAAACTGATTTGGGCACTGTGTATATCCATAGCGGCGATCTCCCACTTCTAATTTTTTGTCCCCTGTGCCCATGGCATCATAGTTTTTTTTCCTTGCCACAAGGAAAAAAATTCCGCGCAATATGCGAAGTTGAGTATGCTCTTTTAGTCGTCAACTGTATTGGCTGAAAAACCGTGAATGATTTCACAATTTTTCATCAGGTGGGTTCCTGTGTGGGATTGGGAATACGACATAATGATGCGCGAGTTCGACGTGGATATCCCCATCACAGTCTCAGCTTGTGCTTCATCTGACTCGTCAGAACCAGCGGGCACCTTCGTTCCAGGTCAGTCAGTCTTGTAAGAATGAGAAACAGAGTAGAATTTCCCATTGGATGGAAAGTGATACATTGTGGTGGGCAGTGGGTGGCCATTTGGGGGTTATGGGAGGGGAAGAGGACTAAAGGAGTCACTTATCAGGGACCTGGAATAGGCTTTTTGACCCCTGAATGGAAGAGGGAAAGGGTCATAATGGCCCTCAATTGATGAGTCCCCAGAGACCCCCCGCTTCCCTTCTCTTCCCTATTTTCCTTTCTTTCTCTGGCTATGCCAAAACGGCATGATCTTTTTTGGTTAGCTGTGTGTGAGGAATGTCAGTCGTCTTGGTTGGAGGAGAAGGAGAAGCAGCTCTTGGAGTACAGAAATGTGTGCATTTTCGTCCGACGCCTTCCAAGTGCAGATGATGCCTTGAGCACTGGGAGTCGAGAAGAGTCTTCCGATGACAATGCCTCTTGCTCAGTGAGTGTCCAGCTTTCTACCCTCTGCCTTATGGGGGAAGGCTTTGTCAAATTCCTATTGCACACTCTTCCGATCACAGGAGACGCGGGCGAAAATCCCACGCCTGGAGAAGTCCTTCAACGGGGTGAATGTTGAAGAATTGACTGGGATTTTGAAGTTGAACGATGACGTAGGTCACCGAAGAAGCCAGCGACAGAGGCGGACTGTGGGTGAAAAGGCCGTTCGGGTCTCCTCAGACATGACTCTTAGGGATCTCAAGCTTCAGGTCTCACTTCTGATCCCATATATATTTTGTAACTCTCTCGCTTGAAAAAGAGAAGGGAAATTTGAAACGTGTGTTTTGGCAGGTGATGAAGGTGTTTGGTGTACCACCGTTCGACCAGCACCTCTTCCTTTCTTCCAAAGAGCTTGAGGGAGACGACAGTACCTTGGCAGACCTTCGTATCTTCCCTGACTGTCATATCACCCTCCTCGTGAGTTTCACATCATTCTTTCCGTTTGACAATTTGAAAATTCATCATAGGCCGTCTTATGAGATTTGAGCAGATGGTAATAGCTCCAGCTTTTAGCTTTAACTTAGATTCCCATTTAACATATTTAGAAAGTAGTATGTCCGACTTGAAGGTCTGATTCAGCTTTCTCCTACATCTTGGTATTGAAATATCCTGTATGGGGGAACCTTCAAGTAAAACACACATACACATTCTGGAGGTTTATTTTCATTCATTTATTCATTTGAGCAAGTGGGGAAGCTGTAAGTTTCTGGTATGGAAAACACGATGGAAATTATCCAGACAAAGACATTGATTCTCCTGGAGAGATCATGCAAATGTTTTGAGCCCTGGTTCAGTTTTTTGCCTCCCCATTTTGTCATGTGGGCTGAGAAAGAAAAATGAGGCACTTCATCCCTATGACTCTTCTGCACAAGTCTGACGGGACCGATAGGTCCAGGGGAAAATAAAAAAAAAAGGCAGAGGGAAAAGACATAAAGCCAGAAAGATGAGCCTGGACAGAAACAAAGAACTCTCAAGAACTTTTTTCCCCTCTCTCTCTCTCCTCAGTGATACATAGTGAAGAGGCGATGCTGGCATGCATTCATCTCCTGTGCAAAAAAGAAAGGGAAAAGGGTAGGGAGGCCGATATAGAACGAGATGGGGAGAGAGTGCAGGACACAAAAAAAAAAGGGTTGACCTAATTGGTTGGAACCAGGGTCTAGGGCGCCTTGTTGTCCACTTACAATGGCACACAATCTCCTCATCCTGGCTTATCTTTTTCTTCTTCACTTCTTGGGACCCAGGGGGAGACTCCTTCCTTCCAATTCATTCCCTTCACTAGTAAGGATATTCCCTCAAGTGGTTTCTCTGACGCTGTGGAAGAAACAATCATCCTGCATGGCGTATGTAGGGCGGGGTTTTCGGGTCACCGGCTGCGTAAGAGCGGCAAGGCAAAGAAAATGAGTATGGAAAAAAAATCGCGGAGGAAGTTATTGAGGGAGTCGTAAAATAAAAATTAATATTCCCGTCTTTTCAGAGTGGGTCGAGGGCTCTTTCTTGTACGTGTTCATATCCCCGCCCCCGAGGTGGAAAGGGGGGGGGGGGGGGGGCACAAAAAGGACCGGGAAGGAGAGTCATCATTAAGTGGATATTGAACTCAGCCTTCAACTTATGTTTTTTGCGCATTTCCTTCGTTCTTCCGGTTCCCACCCAACCATTAAAAAAAATATATTTAAGAGATTCGGATATGTGAAATATAACGTATGCACTGAAACTCAGTGGGTCAGGAATATTTGATCGCCTGTGATATTTGCTGCGGACTTGTGGGGCCTAGTGATGGATACGAGGGTAAGGCGTATGGTTGAACTGACGCAGAGGACCCTGTGTGTACCCTCTTTGGTAGTCTCTGGTGCATCATAGTAATTAGGTGATGGGCAAACCAAAGTCATTAGATCTCCAGAACGTGTCGGTTGAACCTTACTTTAGAGTGTAAAACTTTGTTTTATGATTGAAGTACAGTCGACTCCGCATATTGGAATACTCACGGGACCAGCGAAATTTATTCTATATTCACGAGTATTCCAATAACAGAAACTATCTGCTGTATCGTACCGTAAATCGGGACTTTGCAATGGTATCCCATTAAGCGATATTCCTTTATGCGAAGTCGACTGTATTGTTATCGCGAACAGACGTGGCCGAAACGAGATACATACACTGACCGCTCTTGAAATTGCAGCACCAAGGAATTGGGCGATATTGTTGAAGGTTGGTACCCATTATTTAGCAATCTTTTGATATTGATTAAAGTTTCAAGGACTTGAAATGATTCTTCACAGAGATAACTTCATAAATGTCCTCATGTAAAGGGCAGTTAGAGGGGTGAAGATCTTATTAATCTCTCTAAAGAAGCATCAATTAGGAGTTTGTAAGTGAAATGCGAAATAGGAAGTCCTAATAGTGCCTAAAGGCTAGTCCTAACCTAAGGAATTTTGTTGCATCGGCGATGAAAGAATATTGCAAAATAATAATTCTTGAAAGAAAACTTTCGAATAAATCTTCCGGAGCATTAAAAAATATTGCATATAAATGAAGCTTTCAGAGGCGTCCTCGCCATGCACATTATTTTCCAGTCGACTTGCAAAGAAAACGTTCATGGTGTGAACGAGCCCTAAGAAAGTCGAAGAAAGTTTCAAGGTCAAAGGGTGAGGCGATATGAGGAAACATGTCAAACGCCCGAGGAATGAAGAAAGAGGGTGCTTTCCCCGTCTGTCCCTCACATTAGGGCATTTGTCGAGCTGTCAGTGAAGAATCGTCCTAGACCTTTGAAACTTAATAAGTTTCTTTACACTGTTAGATGTTCAAGTACCAATCATAAGGAATATCGCTCAACTCCTTGGAGTTGCAACTTCAATTGCCGCTAGTGGTTGTCGGGTGCCTGGTGCCACACGGTGCAATGTGATGTTGAGGAATTCAGGACATGGCCCTGAATATTTTGGTCCCTTATGAGAAATGAAGGGAAAATGGTTTCAAATACAGTAAGAATTCAGTTGAAGTAAAGAGTAAATGCATGAAAAATGATATCGTGCAAGTTATTAGAAATTTCTACATTGTCAGATATGTATATTTTCGTGATGTACTCAAAAAGTAGCTGTTACTGCAACACGGCTCCTTCAAATTTCCAGGAGCAGCATTATTTAATGCTGGATGCTCTAATACAGGGGTGTCAAACATACGGCCCGCGGAGGTGGTTCATCCGGCCCGCCGCCTGTTCTTGAAATTTCCGCTTGATTTGACTTTCAGCACAGATTTCGATGAGAAATTATGGGTGCGGCCCACATGCATCTGCAGGGTAAGGAATGCGGCCCGCTGACCGATTTGAGTTTGAAATCTCTGCTCTAATACCTTATGTTTCTTCTGTACAAATGTGAAATTTCAGCTTTGTATCTAATGCCAATTTTTTCTTAAACATTGTATATACCGTTGGCTGAATTAACTTGTTAAATTTGACCAACTTATCAAAAAAGCAACAAAGGACAGTAATTTACTTCTTTTTTTTTTTAACCCATAAACGTGGCAATGGCTGCCAGCATTCATGAGCACTTCGAAAAAATCTTGAAGGAATTCTGCTCTTCCCTGAATATCAGGGTCCTGAAAAATTAGCCACGTAGGTGATTCACCCAAGAATGTATTTTAAAAGTCTATAATAATAATTAAAAAATTGACATCAGATGAAGCTGACATTTTATACAGGTGTAGAATAAACATTACTATCTGCTGCAGTGATCACTACTTTTTGAACGCAGCCTCCCTAGACATTATATGCCAACGAATTATGATCGAAGGTAGAAGCGTGCTATTCGAATATTAAGCTGAGAACTGAACTTACCTATGGAAACGTCCAATCCATACCGAAGGATTATCTTTGTTTCCAAAGATATTGTTCTCATTTGGCGCCGCCATAAGCTGATGGAAGGCCATTGACGAAAGGTGTCGTTGACATTTCCTAACTAGCAGCAGAATCGATCAGGTGCTGTTGCATAGCAACTGCGAAAAGGAATGCTGAAAATATGTGTTCGTTAAGGCTGCAATGAAGAGCGCTGCCCTGCTGGTGTTGAGCAGAATACTCCAACGGTTAATACAAAACATTAAGCTGCGTCTCTTGAAAATGTATCGACTTCCCAGGAATTGCTGTCGGAATTCGTGGGGAAGCGAGCTATAGGGCACTATTTCGACGTTGCTTGATGACACCAAAAATAGCATCATCCTCATGCCTGGAAATGTCCAATTAATGAACATTGACAACTAAGCAATTAATTTTGCGTGTATGACAATATCCACGATTCGGTTATGAATCAGCTGAGCCGTTTTGTTTTGTGTTTTTATTTTATTCATTTATTTATTTATTTTTTAATTTATCGTATCATCCCCTGTAAGGCAGATGATTGAGGAATCTAAGGGTAATGTGAAACAATCGGGTTATGAAGCGGGTGGTCTATGACTGGTGAAGCTCTTTCTTGCCCCTACGTCCAAGCTGATATTGAAGGCTAATAGCTTTTGTGATTAGTGCCAGAAGCCTTCGGGGGGGAAGATGAACCTTGTAGGACAGGAGCCCCATATATCCCTTAGGATTCCATATCCCAGTCACTACAGGAATGGATACATTATTGGTTTAAAAAATATATATTTTTTTTGAAGAAGTGGATATTGGAAATGATGGGGAGAGATGACCTTGCCCCTGGGTCATCCATTAGATCGTCCGAGACCGAGGGTAATCCATCCATATCCGTCGAGTTGTTGGATATAGATGAGTCCCCCGGATAATGACCATCTCCCATCATCAATATGCTCCCAGACCCAGATCCCAGGCACCAGCAGCATCTGAGCCAGAACCAAATGACTTCTACATCGCCCCATGTTGTTTTTTTTTTCTCTTCCCTTCCCCTTCCCCTTTCCCTTTTCCATGAGCTGTACTTTTTTGTGCTGTACATTGTCGATACATGAGGGATGATGGGATGGCGGATGGAGGCGTTCATTTATTGTTGGGCGAGCAAAAACGTCGCTGATGAAGCCCTGAGAGAGAGTGATGAATGTTTCCCTTGGCGCTAGTTCTCTTCCTTCTCTTCATTCCATGACCTACTTGCTAGTTGCACTTCCCTTTTCATACCCTAGTCAGCCTGCATGACCTCAGTTCGGGATTCCGTCTCCGTGACCCTAAGGCCTGAGGCAGACTTCAGCTTCTCTTCCTTTCACATTCTTCAACCTATTTACGCTTGCAAAACCTTCAGTCAGCCTGCATGACCTTGGTTCGGAATCGTCTCCGTGACTATGGGAAATTTATAGTTCTAATCGAAAAAAATAGAATGTTGAAGACTTTGCCTCTCCGTGGGAAGTACAGGGTGTTCGATCGATATACATATACACTATATTGCCATAAGTATTGGGACAAACCTCCCTCCGCCGATAACAATTGTCCCAGA